AATATATGTATCTTTATGTTTTTTGGGTTTTTAGTTTATCTTATGTGTTTGCCTTTTTTTATCATTTATTCTCGTTTTTTGGGTTTTCTTCTTTTTCGTTTTTTGTTTTTTTTTTTAATATTTATAAACTGGTCAGCAACAGTAGCAAATTTAACAATGTGCGTTAACAAATAATTGTAAATATAATGTATGTATATGTATAATATATATATGTATGTATTTTTCTCCACCCTCGCGTCCACATCCCATGCCATCCCCATCCGCATCCGCATCCGCATCCCCATATCTTGTTCTGTATTTTCTGTATATATGTATTCAGTATATTGTGTGTGTGTGTGTTCGATATCTATGTATGTCTTTGGGATAATGGGTTTTGATTCTGTTTTTTTTTCTTTCTGTATTTGTTAAATAATTTTACAACAATTCATTTGTCGGATTTTCTTTTGTGGCTGCCCTGGGATGCTGCTGCTGTTGTTGTCTGTCACTCATAATATTTTTCTATCAATTTAATTAATAAAAAATATTACCATTAGTACTATTAGTTGCAGTTTTTATCATATCATTTGTTTTTTGTTTTTTTTTTTTTGTTTTATCATATCAACAACAACTTTCACATTAGCCCACTGTGGACCGGGGATTTGGGTTTCATTTTATTTATTTAATTTTTATGTTTTTGTTATCATTCTTAGCGTTTTTGTTGGTTTTTGTTTTATATTAGCTTAGTAATCATAATTATAATCAGTAGCAATAATTATAATCATAATCATAGTAGTAATAATAGGTCTAATCTACGAATAATATAACAGGACCCTATGGAATGACCGGGGTTATTTGCCAAAGCCGAACCCAAATTTGCCAAATAGATCTTTGCCTTTCGAGAGGACATCGCCGCCGGGCGCCGCCGCTGCAATGCCCTTGAGGCCGCCCAGCAGACCGCCGCCCTGCGGCGGGGGCTGGGCTTGCGGTGGCACTTGTTGTTGTTGTTGCTGCTGCTGTTGCGGTTGTTGCATGCCCTGTTGCATGCCCTGCTGCATGCCCTGTTGCTGCATACCCTGCTGTTGCATGCCCTGCTGTTGCATGCCCTGCTGTTGCATGCCCTGTTGCTGCATACCCTGTTGCATGCCCTGTTGCATACCCTGTTGCATGCCCTGCTGTTGCATCCCGGGCTGTGCACCAAAGGCATTTGCTTGTTGCTGCGTTGGCTGCACACCGCCGGGTGGTTGCATTGGATCCGTTTTGGGCGGTTGCTTCGACCCAAATAGACCACCGGTGGCAGCCGAAGTAGCACCAGAGAGCAGGCTAGTCGCGCCGGAGAACAGGCCACCCGTTTGCGCCTGCGTCGTGACCGGCGGCTGTTGCTGCTGCTGCTGTCCTCCCATACCCATTTGGCCCATTTGCCCCATCTGTCCCATGCCGCCCATTGGCTGCTGTCCCATCTGCTGTTGCCCCATCTGCTGTTGCGGCTGCTGGCCCATGCCCATCATTCCAGGTTGTCCCATTTGCTGTTGCTGTGTCTGCTGCTGCTGCTGCTGTTGTTGTTGCTGCTGCTGCTGTTGCTGTTGTCCCATTTGCGTCTGTTGCTGACCGTACGGCTGCTGCTGCTGCTGCTGCTGCTGATTACCAACGCGGCCGATCATCCCCTGCAAGTTGGCGATTATCGAATATACCAAAGAGAACGAGTTAGTCGAAGAATGGCTCCAATCAGGGATACAGTACGGTAATCTCGTCAAACGAATGGCAAACTAATTGTTCAAATATTTATATATTGTACGTATAGTATATTTATGGGTAAAATTTTCTCAATATTTTCATATGTAGGTATCATTTTCATTTTGTTCTCTCAAGTGGTTACTCGAAATGGCCAAGGGATTGGTTAGTTTGTAGCAGTGAAAAACAACTCTAATATGGGTGTTGCACTTGGACTCGTCCACGAGCAGTAGTTGCTGAGATTACTTGAGATGGTTGTATGTTTTTGGTTTTTGGTTTTTCGTTTTTGTTTTCGTTTTGGTTATGTTAGTAATGGCAACTACATGCTTTAACTACTGTACTGAAATGGCAATGGCTACTCAAGAACCGAATCGAACCGCATCGAACCGAACCGAAGCGGGATCCTGTGCAGCAGAAATCAATGAGCTCCAAGATGGTATTCCGTCTTCTCAATCAAAACGAATACCAGTAGCAATACGAGTACGTTATTCGGCGAAATGTAAAATGTACACACATCTGTCGACGGGATCGACAATTTGTTTGTTTGTTTGGAAAAGAACAACTCAAAAACAATGTAGAACTAGCAACGTTTCTTAATAGTTTTCAAACGCAAAATGAACTGGGGCCTAGGGCCAAAAGGTAAACACAAGAATTCGCATTACAAAAATAAAAAACAAAATGTGCCAACATTTTCTTTCGACAACAGATATGTGGTATTCTGTCTTGTAAAAAAAGAATGAAAAAAAACTCTCGATGCTGGACCCAGGGTGGCACGGACTTCGCTAAGTAGATCTAGTCGCTATATATTTACACTACCTTGATGAGAAGAGTGAGACATGTGGATAAGTATAGTAGGTGTGTATTTTGTGATCGATTGTGTCATAATCAGAAACCATCTAGAGATAGATTGGGTCAATCTCCAATGATTCGATGAACAAAATCAAATTAAATTCCGTTTTCGTATCGCTGTGTTTTTCTTTCTTGTCTAAACATAAAGCAAAATGCAGTTCTAAAAACGTAAAGGTGAGCCAAAAATAAAATCATATGAGGGTTATGTAGTGAAAAGCATAATCCGGGTGGTTCTGGGATTCAACTTAGGAGGCGTGGAAGGTAGAAAATAACTGAAACATCAGTTGACGAAACGAAAAAAACGTCAAAGAGTTACACATACAGTGAATCACATAGAAGTTTGTACACATTACATCCAATATTCCAATAGTAGTAGTAGCAATTAATTAATATAATTAGTAGCGTTTACCAGTAAAGAAACTAAAATGTATTCATATATAGATATATATGCTATGTATATATGTATGTATGTATGTATGTATATTTATGGGTTGGTTCTTATCAGCAATACTTGAGTTTACTTGAGTGTGTGTCTCGTATATCTGGTAATACTTAGATAAGATGTTTGTTGTTTTTGTTGGATGTTGTTTGAATATATATCTGTACATATTTTCGTTTTTGGGAATTTATCTCAATTTGGGGGAAACTTGTTTTTTGTTTGCTCTGGAAGACGTTTAGAAGTACACCAGACCCTACCTACATTTTTGGTTCGGACTAGTTTTGTAAACTGTGTATCTATATTATATCTGTATTCATGTGGAAGCAAAATAATTCTCATTTTATCCCCCTAACAAAAAATAATCTTAGAAATTAAAACGTGGCTTTCCCATAAGCCCAAAAAGTGTTAATAAAATTAATAAGATATAGAATTGGGGCAGCAGCTGGTATGTTATCTTCATGGCTATCAGAATGAAAATTCCAGGACCTGGATAACAGATCACAATTGTAATCAGAATATATTGACAGTTTTAAAAATTAAAATCCTTATTCGGATTATTTGTTTCCTAAATTGGAGAAGCTTGCTCGTAGATGTAGAACAAATACAAAAGTTCTGAAGGACAAAAGTAAGACCAATTTTTCAATAATGACTTCCCGAAGGGGTGTCCATTTTTAAATTATAAAAATTATTGTCGTCAAATCATCAGTTAAGAATCCTTAATCAGTATATCCCTATGTATAAGTATATTCTACGAGCCTCCGACTAGGCCTTGAGGCTAGAAAGTCCATAAGCTGACCAATCATTGGGAAAAAACAGACGGTATAAGGAAAACTTATAACAAAAGAAAATGTATAAATAAGAAGAACTAATAACTGAATAGGAAATTGATGTGAATGACTGTGGCTGTGGAAATGTGTTGAAGCTCCTCGGGAATGGAACTCTTATATATGTACAGGCTATACACACAAGCATGATATCTGGATTATCATAATAGTTCCTTAGTGTTGTAGTTCGTTTTCAAGTATATCAACATGAAGTGCGTCATTTGCAGGCTATATGGATGCTCTCAACGATCTTTACACGGACGAGCCTGTGGCCGATGCTGAATGCTGATGTTGTTTCTGTTTTGGGATGTTGGTATATGTATATAAAATGTGTGTGTTTTTTTGTCTTGGATGTTAACTACAAGATAAACATGTTGCTAGCTATACATATGTACTATTGATCGGTTGTTGATTGGTAGCGTTTATATCGGAATGTTCATGTACTGTACTGTAAGCGTTTGACTTGGGACTGGATATACGTTATGGCACACACACATAAAGGGTTTATATAGACAGAGCAAGATTAGGTTTAGGATGAGGATTAGTAGTAGTAGTAGTAGTAGTAGTAGTAGTATGCGTACAATAGTTATAGACATAGAGAGAGAGAGAAAGAGGACGAAACAATGGACAATCGAATCGAATATTGGCGAGTATGGAAAAGAGACCGGAACACAACAGCACGACGCTACTGGAGTGGCGTGTGTGTGTGCACGAAAGCGATAGCAGTATGTCATTGGAAGGGGACGGATAGAGTGTTGGTACTGTTCTGTCGGTGTCAGTAGTATCTGAGTATCTGAGGATGGGGTTCGGGGTCTCATGAATGACTTTGGACTTGTCCGACAATTTCAACCGAAAAGTAAATGAGTGACAGATATAGCAAGGTGTAGGAGGTATAGCTAGAAGATCAGGTATAGGTATAGGTATAGGTATAGGTACAGGTATAGGTACAGGTATAGAGGTATAGCTGTTGTAAGTAGTTGTAGTTTGTGGCTGTTGTTGTTGTTGTTGTAGTAATAATAATATAGTATTTGTAGGTAGGCTTTGTTGTTTGGGTATTTTTAGTGAACAATTGCGGATACATTTTGGCGTATACGTAACTCTTTTTTTTCGTTAATTTAGTTTAAGCAGTTTTATTTTTTTGTTATTTTCGAAAAACAAACGAAAATATTGTATATCGTTGTTCTTTCTTTTTTTTTCATACGTTCGCTATAACGAATATTTCGAAACAAAAAGGAAACAAAAGAGAAAGAGTATTTACCTGCGTTTGGTGATCGGGGGCAGGATGGCCCGTGTTGTCTAACAGTGTAGGGGAAGCAGGGCGAGCATCTATAGCAACGAATATAACATAAAGACTTCACATTTACCACAGCAGACCATTACAAAAAATTATTCGAAAGAAGTAGTTGTAGTAGTCGAACGCAAGAGGTGGAAACCCAAACGTAAATCAAAACCAAATGATCGAAAAAACAAAACCAAAACTTTATATCGAAATATATGGAAATTTAGTCGCGTTCAATTTCGATTTGGAGTTCGATAAAGAGTTCGAGTAAGGACTGCTGAAGCTGCCTGAATCTGTTCTGGGATCTGTGTTTCAATGTGGGTTGAAAAGACTATTCAGGATATGCTTTTTTGGTTGGTCTCCTCAGCGTGGGTAGGTCTTGTTCTCTATAATTCACCGCAGTTCAGAAAAAACAAACCAATTGAAAAACTCATAACAAAAAGGGTGGAATCGAAATTAAAACAAAACAAAACACATTTTAAAATGTTTCACATCATTTTCAAATAAAATACGGGCTTCATTCTGTTGAAAATTGGGAGCTTTGCAAAAACGAGAGGAAGAGAGGCGTCAAATGGTTTCAGATCGGATCGGATTGGATAGAGAATTGATTTGCATTTGATTTGATTGTTATTGGGGATATTTGTTGTCCAGACATACAATATGTAGATTAAAATTGTTTTAAATATTACCTTTCAGATCTAACGAAATATAGCCCTGGATAGCGCTTGATATTTCTGAATAGTGGATGGGGATTCGATTAAAGCATTTGGTATGCACTTTACAAGTTATTTTTGGGGTAAGTAAAGGTAGTATTGGTATTGGTAGTATAAATAGTAGTAGTTGGACGGGCACTTAGGTGGCTTAGTAGTATATTTATATATTGTATTTGTATATTTGGAAATAAGTTAAGTTAAAGTTTAAATTTAAATTTAGTATTTTACAAAAAGATTTACATTAGATACAAAATACGCGCCGTCGTTATTTATTTGAAATTGAATTTTTTTAAGGTTTTTTGTATGTTTTTTTTTTTGTGCTTTTGGTTAGCCTTTTTCTGATGCTGTTGTTGTTTTTGTTGTTATATCTTGAACAAAAATATGAACGAATAGTAAATATATATCGAAGAAGCTAATTCGCAAACAAACAAGACCAACATTCAGAAAACCAGAAGGAAAACATTTAACGAAAAAAAAACCAGAAAACGAAAAAGTCCAAAAATCAACGAGAGGAAAGCAACGCTAAAAGAAATATTTTTGTAGTTCGAGAAGCAGATACGAGTACGAGAGTACTTAACGGTACTCGAAAAATGTTGTTTGTATTTGTGGGATACAAGGATCTTCGGGGCGGTCCCAGAGGATTACAATCCGAAAGAAACAGAGGTTTCGTTTTCCCTTTGCTGGCTAGTCGGGGGTTCGGGATCTGTCTTGTCTGTCAGAGAGAGGCATTTTACCAACAGTATTTACAGATACGATCGATCATTCCCATGATCATTCACTAATTCTGGTTCAAGGAGCTGGTTGGCTGGTTGGCTGGTTGTCTTTTGGTTTTGGTTTCTATGTCTCATTTTGGTGGGTGATCTACTAGGCATATTTCAAGTTCATTCGGCAATCAGGTGCAGTTAATTATTAGTATTGTTAATGCAAACACTTGGCCTTACTGTTAAAAACAAAAACCCAAAGTAAGGAGTATAATCTGTTAAACTGTATAAAAAAAATACATTATTCAATTGACATGCAAAGACCAACTATAATTTTTACACGGCTAGAGAAAGGCACGCAAGACAAAGAGACAGGAGACCAGTATAGAAAAGAGAAAATAAACTTAAGAATTTTGGTATAGACAAGAAGAAGAAGACGAAAAAGCTAGGTGAAAAGATATATACAAAAGTCGTAATGAGATGACAAATGAAAGTGACTAATGGCCATGAGGGTCAATGATTGATGATCCTGACTAAATTTCGAAATAAATATCGAAAAGTCCAGATATACTTATTACTGATCCGTTGAATTCTTTAGTCTTTGATGGAGTATGAGTTTGAATGGATGGGTTGATGGATTGATGGTGTGATATATGCTTAAGAAATATATAGATATAATATATTGTGTGTGTACAACAACAAGAACAACAACTATCTATTGTATATTTGTATTTTGATTAGAATTATATATCACTTGAATCGAAATAAAACAAAACCAAAACAACATACAAAACAATGAAGGAATATTGATATATATATATATATATATATAGTAAATATATAAATGGAAATATATCAAACTGATTGGTGCTGGAAATCATTTAATTTGTACATCAATTCAATAATTCAAAAAAGAAATGGGAGAAAAAGAGTTGCACATAAGAAAGTTTCGCTCGGAATCGTAATGGAAATCAAATTTTGGCGGCGTTCAAAATCAGAATTTGTTGTATTCAACTTGTAACTGTTTTTTTTTGTTTCATTTTGAAGTTTTTGCGATAGAGAGTCGAGACAGAAATAGTAGAGAGAAAGAGTGGAAAATATTCTCTGTGTTTGTTCGGCTGAGTGGTATAATATCGTTTCGTTTTTTGGGAAGATTTGGAAAGACACAAACACAAAACGAAGAAATAATATGAAACTCAAAATATTAGGAGGGGGTATCAGAAATGGATTTGCTATAGTTGTGGGTATACACAGTACATTATCCTGCTTTGTGGAATTGGAATTATTGTTTATGTAGTCTGGAAGAACCTGCATAGTAGTTATTTCATCTTATAAAGTGATTTCGAGATAAAAGTATATGTTTTTGTATTATTTGGGTGATATTTTTGATTTCAGAATTTTGAAAACTCAATCGTACGAACAGAAGAACCGAACCAAAGACTTGGAAAATAAAATTCAAATCTCTTGTAAGCCGGTGATTGGTTTCTTTTTTTCGAAAAAGTTTTCGGTATCATTTGATCATTAGATTGGATTTGATTAATTCGTTTTCAACTTAAATCGAAAATACATGAAAGAAAACACAAAACGTAAAAGAAAATGTGAAAAATTGCGGATATATAGTATGTATTGTCGTTCTGTTCGTCACAAAAGACTACTTACTTTTACCTGGTTGACCACGCCCGGCCGCGCCAGGCATCATATTATCCCGCGGCGGCGGCGGTGGTCCTCTCGCACCGGGTCCCTGGCCCCTGCCCCGCTGACTGAGCCCACCACGGCCGGCCGAGCCGCTGGGACCCATCTGGTTGTTGTACTGGTCGGGCGCATCGGCCAGGAAGTTAGACGGCACCAGGCCACGTACGCCGTCCAGTTCGCCCATGTAGAAACCATCTTCATCCATCTCACCGTAGACCAATATGATCTCGCCCGTCTTAAAGCACAATTCCACCTGCTGGATATGGGCAAAGGAGTTCGGGATTAGCCATTGGCTGGTTTGGTTTAAGGTTAGACAAACAGAAAGTGTAGATCGGTATAGCAGTCTTAGCACTAGTGGCGGTGTTCTATGGAGGTGGCTGGGGCTGAGGGACACTCACTTCACTTGCCACGTCCTGGCGGAAGCCTGGCAGAAAACTACCCAACAGACCACCCATAAGACCACTCCCCGCACGGCTTGCCCTGCGCTAAGTAGGAGATAACACATTCACAGATCAAACAAGAGGCGCAAAAAACAAAAGAGTCCAAGCTGATACTCAGTCACAGGAGTAGTACTACTTTCAAGCGATCCATTCCCGCGACTCACCTCGGCATCCACATTGGGACTCAACTCTTGAGGATCGTAGTCGTAGAGGGCAATCATCCGCTTCACCGGCATGTTCGCATAGATGTCGCCCCAACGATCGCGGCTCACGTTGCGCATGCTCTGTTGGGGCACTACCTGACCTGGCATCACCTGGGCTTGGCCGCCAACTGCGCCCTGCATGGCACCAGGCATCTGACCACCTGCAGCCATCGGTGCCGTTGTGTCCTCCATCTCGGAGACCATGTTGTGCGGCACATAGCCTCGCCGACCGGCCAGCTCGCCCCAGTAGAAGCCATCGGAATCCTTATCACCAAAGACCTATATCAAGACAGAGGAGAGCGGAGTGGAAGAGCCAGAGATGGGGAGACATGAGTATAGATCGGGCAGAGTTTCGGTATGGGATCGCATGGAGATTATTGTGGGTAAAAGTGTATTGGGTGCATAACGCTAGCTTAACGATTATTTATGGAACTAGTTGAAGAGAGAGAGAGAGAGAACAACGTCTACTTAGTGGGTAGTATTTGATTACTGTATGGGTTGATATAGATATAGAGATTGTAGTTGTAGTTGCAGAGGGGGTAGGGGTAAACGGATAACGGTACGGTACGGATACAGAATACGGTTGAACTGATTTCGATCGAGATCTCAACGAGTCTGATGAGTGGGTCTGCGAGTCAGTGAGTCAGTGAGGTGGGAGTCGAGTAGTCGGTGGTGAGTGGTGGGTGGGCAGAAGGAAAAACATGCACTGATCATTCAATTAGCGCAACAAGCAAGCGCAGCCAATATCAATATCGATATCGAGATCGCATCCAATTGCATCCAATCTTCAATCTGATGACGATATCTGGTTCATATCTGGTTCTGGGTTACCGTTGTACGAGTGGTGGGTGGATCGTCATCACATCGCCGTCTGATCTGCGGGGGCCTATGAACTGCGGCAGCAGCTGGAAAGTGTTTTGGTGGTTCTGTGTGTGTTGGAAGGGGATCAGCGTGGCTTACCTTGATCGTATCACCCTCTTGGAACGGCAGTTCTTCGTCGCATCCATCGGGATTGGGACTCATGGTCGATGGATCGTAGTCGAACATGGCAACAAAGTAGCGGGGTTTCTTCTGCTGTTGCTGCTGCTGTTGTCCCGGCTGCTGGCCGCCAGGTTGGTGCTGGCCCTGTTGCTGTTGCTGCTGGTTGAGGGGACCCCGTGGACCCATCATCTGATTGGGCATTTGTCCTGGCATCTGTCCGGGCATTTGTCCGGGCATCTGACCAGACATCTGACCTTGCATCTGACCAGGCATTTGTCCCGGCATCTGTCCAGGCATCTGTCCAGGCATCTGTCCTGGCATCTGTCCAGGCATCTGACCCTGCATCTGACCCTGCATCTGTCCAGGCATCTGTCCAGGCATCTGTCCAGGCATCTGACCCTGCATCTGACCCTGCATCTGTCCAGGCATCTGTCCAGGCATCTGACCTTGCATTTGCTGACCCTGCATGTTCATCTGCCCGGGAACTGGTCCTCGAAAGCGTGGCCCTCCTCTGGGGCCCTGGGTACCGTACTGCTGCTGCTGCTGCTGCTGCTGCTGCTGCTGTGGCCCCTGAGGTCTGCCCGGCAAAGGCGCCATGCCACGCTGAGCACCTGCTGCCCCCGGTTGGTATCCCTGGAGGATATTCGATTCCCAAGGATCGTCATTCGTTGATCGTGTTTGCACGCGCATGAATTTGAATTAATTTGAATGAATTTAAAATTTTGTTAGCATGTTTTTAGATTCTTTTGAGGATGTTGCAGGTTCTTAATCTGTACTCTGTTTTTCATTCACATTGTCTTTAGAGAGGTTTTTCGGTTTAGTAGCAAAGGTGGAGGCGTCTGCGTTTAGCTGGTTTTACTTTAAAGTTTTTTCTCTTTTTATTAGACAACTAAGGAAGTACGAAAGCTGAATGTGTTTTACTGTATGTAAATGTATATGTATATATGTGTGTATGTGTATGTGTTTGGCGCATAACGATCTATATACGAACAACTGAAAATTATCAAGTATCTATAGCTGATAGTCGAGTACGAAGCTAGACGAGTACAGGTACAGGTACAGGTACAGGTAAGGCAGTAAGTAGTAGGTTTTTAGGAATGGTAATATCGGAAGTAGGAAAGCACGGATTCGAGTTCGGAGTATCTTGGTGGGTGGATGGATACAGATACAGTAGCGGTATCTGCGAGTGGTATGTGTGTTTGTGTGTTTCTAGCAGCAACTGCGGATTTACATAGGATATATGGTGGGTACTAGTTTATAAGTATTTTTCAATTTAAGATCACAACAGTAAGACGTTTATTTTGTACAAATGATCGTCTGGGGTATCGGATCGGACCTATGTATAAAGTTCAATCTGCCCCATAAATATCGATCGATGTTTCTATGCTGTAGGCTGGAAACTATGGCTTAGATTATTTATAGTATTATGACATTAGACTTTGATAACTTTGCTGCGAACAGAGACAAAACGCCTAATAAGTGTTTGCAGAACTGAGTCACTATTTGGGTTCACTATTATGTTTTCCAACACACACAGCTGGCACATATATGTATCTCTCGCTCTCACTGCATGCTGCGTGCACCCATCAGGCTATCTCTGTTTTTCCAGTTAGTCAGTTACCAAAGCGTCTAATGTCATATGGCCATTACTGAGTATTTCCGGCTTAAACATGCAAGAACTGTATACCCTCAATCAATCCTGTTTTTGGTACTTACAAGCCAGATAATTTTCTAAATAATTTCCCTAGAGGCATGGCATATACAAAGATACTTAGTAAGGAAATCAAAAAGTTTAAGGAATCTATAAGGAACTCAAACAAAATCAAGGGCTTTCACAGGTTATAGTTATAGTATAGGCAATAATGCTGCAAATTACTCAGTTTTCGACTTCAATATACAGGTTCAATTATCCAGTTTTTGTTTTGGAGTTGAAAGCGAGAAATCTAGGCTAGAGATTACTGACCAAACAAAATATGTATGTATGCATCGAACACTCAACATATGTTCTATAGTTCTATATAGTACTTGTACGCAAGTGTTACGGTTACAATTAACGGTTAACTTATGTCTATAGTGTGGGTGAGTGTGTGTCCGTGTGGTGTGTGTGTGTGAGTGTGTGTGGTAATATGTGAGAGATGTTGTGGGTAAAACTTACATTCTGGTTCACTTGACTCTGTGTGGGTTTCGAGAAGAGGCCACCGAGCAGGCCACCTAACAAGCCGGAGCCTCCGTCGGGCTGTTATGTCGGATCGGATCGGTATGGATCGGATATCGATCGTATCAGTTTTTTGGTTTCATATAATGAAAATGAATATGTAACTTGTTTTGTTTAAAATTGTTCGTTGCATTGCGTATATTCCTTAATAAAATCGGTCGGCATTTCATTTCCGCTCAAATACTTAGATAAAAACTCTATTTTGAAATCTGAATCAACTTAACAAAGTTCAAAATCGTATATATTGCAATATATTTGGGTTTTGCTTATTATTATTATTAATTTTAATTTTAATTTCATTTTGCAATTTTAATTGCAATCCAAAGACATGCTACAATAATTGTGAACTTTACTCGGAACCAACTAAAATGAACCCAAGAATTGAAATGATATATGGAAAAAATACTAGCAAAAGTTGGCATACTCTGGGGCAAATATCTCTTCAAATAAAACTTAAGAAAAAGTAATCAAAAATAACTTTACATACATACAAGGTTCTCCTTTTTTTTTTTGGGTTGGGAGAAGGTCTTTTAATTGCTTTGGTTCTTATCACATACATAGGATCGAGAACTCTATGGGAGTCCCTTAGTAAGTACTTTGTTTGTGTGAATTTTGTGCGATGGTCTCAGAATTTCTCTCAGTGTATGTATATAATGTGGTACATTTGCAAAACAAATCGACCGAAAGTAGTAGTAGTGGTAGTTGGAAATAAAGGCAGTCCAAAAATAGATCTCAAGTTAGGAGCAGAAAACAGAGCGAGAGAAGGTAAAGATGTAAAGTAAAACTTAAGACAACACAGGACCCTCTCCTCTGAGAGAGAGAGATGCAATCGTTTAGGATATACTTATAGGGAGTGTGTGATGTTTAAGGATTCTTATTCAATCTCGGTCTGATGGTGCAGGGTTTGTGGTTATGCAAGCAGTTGTTAGGAATGTAATTTTCAAAGTTTTTCATTGGATGATTTGATCGTGTAGCATTCGTACGTATATATAGTATAGGGAGTATATGGAGTATATGTCTACATTCCGTAGATATCTTAATGGTATGTACATTCTTCGATGGTGTGTTGGCTTTAAAGTTTATATAATAGAATTTAGAATATTTCAGAGCCAATTTGCATCGAAATGATAAAACAAAACGAAGTTCATAGAACATTATTTACAGTGTATACGGACTCCCGAGGGCACCGCCTTCGGCTGGACACTCACCTGATGACCCGGCTGACCGGGCTGCTGTCCCTGCTGCATCCCCTGCTGCATGCCCTGCTGCATGCCCTGCTGCATGCCCTGCTGCTGCTGCTGCTGCTGTTGCATGTGGTTGGGATCGTACTGACCGTGAGGATCCTGTTGGCCCATCATAAGCGGCTGCTGCTGCTGTCCCACCTGCCCGGGCATGCCCCCCATCTGCTGCTGCATGCCGTGTGGCCCCTGCGGCAGCTGCGGACCCATGCCCATCTGATTTGGTCCCCGGCGAGCAACGGCATTGCGCACAGTGTCTGCAACAGATCAAATCAGATTCGATTAGGGATATGGATGGTCCTTTCTTCTGGGTACTTCACGTCAACACTTACTTGGTATCAAGATGGGCGCACTGTCCGCCGATTGGGAGTCCCGTGACTTGGTGCGTATGGTCACGGCCCGCGGATTGAAGACGCCCAGCTTGCCGATGTCGATGAGGGCATGGTCGCCGGTGGGCGAATTGATATCGGTGACCTTCTTACCATCGGCGTACACAGCATAGCCGGTAACAGGCCCAGTCGCGGTGGGCCTGGCGACCGGCTGCCATGTCACCAGAATGGTACCATCCTGTGGGCCAGCCTCAAGCTGAATCTCCTGCGGCGGATCGGGCAGGCCCTTGGTGAGGGTGCGGAAATCTGCATAGGCACCGGGTGCCTCCTCCTGTCCGGGCCTGCCCGGCGTCTGGGGCGTCTGCTGCCCGACCGCTCGCAGATGCTTGGCCCGCACGGTCACCCGGTATTGGGTGCTCGGCGCCAGACCGGTGATGGTGTGCCTATACATGCCCGGCTTGACGGTGCGCACCTCCACATTGTTCACACACACCACGTGTTGGTGGTTGGAATTGGCCGGCTGCCACGAGATGACCGCCGAGGAACACGTTATGTGCGAGGCGCGCACCGCCGAGGGGCCCAGATGCGATGTGTCTCGCCCGATGATCATGGTGCAGGCGGCGTCCCGGGACGTCTGCCGATTCTGGGTCACGCTCCGCACGCTGATGCGATGCGGCTGTGGAAGGAATCAGTGAGCTTCATCCTGAAGGATATCCTTTGAAGGTCTTAAGCCTTACCCGTGTGGAGTCAACGCCCTCGATTAGTGCGCGTGTGCGTTCATTAGCCTTCACAGAGACCTTGAGCACACGATCCACATAGACATGATAGCTCTCGATGAGATTGTAGCCCACTGGCTCCGGTGGTGACCAGCCAATGAGCACGCTCTTATTCAGCTGCCGTTCCAGCGTCAAGTGTTTGGGTGCTGGAACTGTGTCACGGAAGAGAGAATATAACCATTAGATGAATGTCAGAAGCTCCTCAATCTGTAGATGACTGCTAGCCTGGGACTGGGGACTGGGGACTGGGTTTTGTCGCTACTGGTCTCAGGAATCAAGAGTAATGCTCACATTCATGCCATGCAAAGAGCGATGCATTCGCGGATCGCCACAAAAACCAAAAATATTAAAAATATGATCCCTTCGGGCCGGATGCTTAGGGGCAATAGTTACCATTATCGCTAATGTCATCCTGGTCGTGCTCCAGATCGGTGTGCGTCTCACTCAAACGTGCCAGGTCCTCGTGGGTGTGTGTGAGCAATGGGTTGTGCGGCGGCAAGGAGGGCAGCGACGTTGTGTCGCACTGCATCGAGCCGTCCTCGGCATCGCGCAGTGTCGATAGAACCGCCTGATGGAATTCCAGCAGATCGTCGCCTGCCAGGGCAAGGAAACAAAGTGAAAGGTTACCGTATGCCCAGGACAGAGAAAGTGAGTGTCAATCGAGGACCCCTACCCACTAGGCGCTGTACAAATGAAGCGGGCACTAGGCCGCGTCGTCCATCCAGTAGCTCCGCATCCAGATAGCCACCCTGGGGCTCGCCGCTGGTCCACACCAGAAGATAGTCGCCGGTGCAGAGAGACAGCTCGCCCTCAGCCTCCCTGCAAAATTGAGTATAACGAATCAATATGGTTATGGTTCATAAACGGTTTCATTTATGGTTTATGGGCTTGTCCAGAATTCAGTAACATTGACTCTTGATTTGGTCGGTTGTACCAAAGATTTTGGCGCAAAAGCGACAGGAGTCCAGAACGGCTCATTGTTCAGGCATGTACGATTATACGTTAATAATCTTTGATTATAGAGCTGAAAAAATTCCTCAGATGAACCATTAAGTATGACCAAATGGTCGAAAGAATAGCACTACTGAAACTGTTCCAATTAATGAAATTCCCAAACATCCTATACATCCATTATACAAGATGTTTCATTTAATGAAATTATAATTAATAAATAAGACCTAACTGATGAGGATTTTTGAACTGGAATAAATCGAATCAATTTGCAGGTTTTTGCAATAGAAATCAGTTCGGGTACTGTTCCAAAATGGTTTCATTTATGGCTTTAATACCAGTTCACCATGAAGTTCTATCTTGGTCTAGTCGCTGTGCTTTGCTTTTGCGCCACCAAATCGGTAAAAAGATGCCTTTAAAGTCTGTTTACAGATCTTAGCTAATCCCCGATCCCTTACAGATGGCAGATAATGGCAAACAAATAAGCTCGGCAAACATGTCGAGCTATACATTTATTAAAAACTTGACGGACGTTACCAAAATTAAGTGCTACCTATATTGGATGTCCAGACTTGTCAAGAATTCAGGAAATATAGTTTCTGAGTTGGCAAAATGTGTCAAACAATTTGGCGACAAAGCAATGCGCGTAGTGACCGCCTTCAAAGAGCTTGTCGCAGTAATCAGGCCCATTTTTGAGGCCTGTACGGGTATAATCGTGGATAAAGTCGTCGGTGGAGCAGCTTGTTTGAAAGCATTTACACTAAATGCTTTCTCTTTGTTTAGAGCATTGAAAAAGTTCCACGACGAGGTTAACAGTGAACCACAAAGTAAAACCGCGTGCGCCAAGATGGCGCTTGAAGAATATTTTGAAGCTTCCAGTGTTTACGAAGTCATCGATAGCTGTATATATCCGGGTAATACAACAAATACTAAAGCTGAAGTGACTTCCAAACCTACTGATCGGCCATTCTACAAAAAACTAATACCTTTTATTTGACTAAACAATACATTCGAGGCTACCTGATGAGAAGCTGTCATTAAAAGAATGCATAAAGTAAATATACATACATAAGTGTAAGAAATCGTTTCACTATGGTAGATTAATGTGCAGATGTTCCGAAGCAAATCAATTTCGGTATGTATGTCTTTCTGCGGCTAGTAAACTCTTTCATTTGGGGCTTAAATGTCAGTTCACCATGAAGAGCCATCTTGTGCTGGCCGTTGCGCTGTGCTGGTTCCCTCTTTTATCGGTAAAGAGTCCTTAACTAGAATGATCTTAGCTAACCCCCGATCCCTTGCAGTTGGCAGATAATGACGAAAAAATAAGCTCCGCAAACATGTCAAGCTTTGAAATTTTAAAAAAATTGACGGATGTTACCAAAATGAAGTGTTACCTATATTGGATGTCCAGACTTGTCAAGAATTCAGGACGTATAGTTCTTGAGTTGTTTAAATGTGGCAAACAATATGGCGGAAAAGCAATTCGCGTAGTGACCGCCTTCAAAGACCTTGTCGCAGGAATGAAGCCTATTTTTGATTCCTGTAAGGGTGTAATCGTTGATGCAATCGTCGGTGGAACAACTTGTGTGAAAGCATTTGCAGAACAGGCATTCTCTTTGGTGGGATCATTGACTAAGTTCAACAAGGAGATGAGCAGTGAACCAAACAATGAATCCGACTGCGTGAACACTGCTTTTAAGAAATATTTCGAAGCTTCAAGTGTTTACGAAGTCATCGATAGCTGTTCCCTTCCGGTTACAACAACAACTACTAAACCTGTTACAACTACCCAGCCTCCTACTGATCGGCCATTCTACAAAAAAATAATTTCTTTATTTGACTAAACAATGCATTCGAGGCTACCTGATGAGAAGCTGTCATTAAAAGAATGCATAAAGTAAATATACATACATAAGTGCAAGAAATCGTATCTATATGGTAGATTTATGTGCAGAGGTTCCGAAGCAAATCAATTTGGGTATGTCTGTCGCCCTGCGGGTAGTAGACTCTTTCATTTGGGGCTTAAATGTCAGTTCACCATGAAGAGCCATCTTGTGCTGGCCGTTGCTCTGTGCTGGTTCCCTCTTTTATCGGTAAAAAGCCCTTAACTAGAAAGATCATAGCTAATCCCCGATCCCTTGCAGTTGGCAGATAATGGCGAAAAAATAAGCTCCGCAAACATGTCAAGCTTTGAAATTTTAAAAAAATTGACGGATGTTACCAAAATGAAGTGTTACCTATATTGGATGTCCAGACTTGTCAAGAATTCAGGAAGTATAACTTCTGAGTTGATAAAATGTGGCAAAAAATATGGTGGAAAAGCGATGGACGCAGCGCCCGCCTTCAAAGACCTTGTCGCAGGAATCAAGCCTATTTTTGAATCCTGTAAGGGTGTAATCGTGGATGCAATCGTCGGTGGAACATCTTGTGTGAAAGCATTTGTCCAAAAGGCATACTCTTTGATTGGATCATTGAAAAAGTTCAACAACGATGTTAACAGTGAACCAAACACTCAATCCGGGTGCGCGAACACGGCTTTTACGAAATATTTCGAAGCTTCAAGTGTTTACGAAGTCATCGATAGCTGTTCCCTTCCGGTAACAACAACAACTACTAAACCTGTTACAACTACCCAGCCTCCTACTGATCGGCCATTCTACAAAAAAATTATTTCTTTATTTGACTAAACAATGCATTCGAGGCTACCTGATGAGAAGCTCTCATTAAAAGAATGCATAAAGTAAATATACAGACATAAGTGTAAGAAATCGTTTCACTATGGTAGATTAATGTGCAGATGTTCCGAAGCAAATCAATTTCGGTATGTATGTCTTTCTGCGGCTAGTAGACTCTTTCATTTATGGCTTAAATGCCATTTCACCATGAAGACCCATCTTGTGCTGGCCGTTGCGCTGTGCTTGTTCCCTCTTTTATCGGTAAAAAGCCTTTAACTAGAAAGATCTTGGCTAATCGCCGATACCTTACAGTTGGCAGAGGATGAAATAATAAGTTCCGCGAATATGTCAACCTTTGCAATCGCCCTAAGATTATTGGACCCAAGGAATCTGATGTGCTTTATATCGTGGCTGGACAAACTCGTCAAGAAAGCGCCAGCATTAACTCGAGAAGTGGTGGATTGTAGCATAGGACTCGCAGATTTGGAGTATAAAATTCTGTCCGCCTTGGAAAAGCTTGTGACCATAGCCGGTCAGATTGTTTTCGCCTGTGCGGGCTTGGTCTTAAATGCAGTTATTGGTGGTTTCTCTTGTGTCAAAGGAGTTGCAACACAGGTCCTGGATCTAGTTGCAGTCATGACAAGATTCCAGGAAGCAATTAGAGGTGGTGAACACGAAAATGCGGTGCAATGCATAAAGGGATCGTTCAAGAAATTTTTCGAAGTCTCAACTGTTTTCGAAATTGTCGATGCCTGTATCTTTCCCAACAATTCGGCACCTTAAACAAGGGCTCTCCTAGCCAGTGAAAGGTTCTATAAAGTATACACATACTACATGAAAGGTTATATAAAGTATATACAAATAACTATGCAAATTTGATGGACTTACTCGGGTGGGTCGTACGGAAAACGGGCTATGAACACGCAGCAGCGGCCCTTTCCAGGAATATCCAGCATATCCACTTGCGGTTCGCTGGCTCCATTCAAGCCATGATTTCGAGCTGTTCATAGAATAATGTTTATAGATATGGTCCTTCCTATAGGGTTATGTGACGACTGTACTTACTGTCGAGATCCAGGGCACCCAGCGCCAGGCCGCCCCGATTGTGCATCATGCAGAGGCTCAGGCCATCTGCGAATTCGTCCAGACCCCAATTGCTGGGCGGTATTGGCGAGCAGGGTGAGCTCCGGTTGCCGTAACGGGTCAGTGGTATCTCGATCTCATCCAGCATCTTCATCTTGGAGGCCTGACGCAGGGCAGCCGACGTGAACGGATACGAGGCGCTCGAGGCGACATCTAGAAACGGGGGACCATACGAGCTGCCCAATCCTCCGGCGGCTCCGGCACTCAGGCCATACAGCGATGTGGCCCCCGTGATGCCACTGCCGCTTGGCCCGGCGCCCAGACCAAGTCCGGCCGCGCCCAGCAGGGCGCTGGTATCGAGCATGCTGATGTTGCCCAGGGTGGGATGCGTCAGCGAGGAGCCGGCGGCGCCACCGCTGCCACCCAGCCCCAGACCGGAGTAGCTGCTCGAGCCAGCGGGCGGCAGGTTATGCGAGTTGAGTGACAGGAGGGGCATGGTTGTGCTCTGTAAATTATACAGTTGTATTGTTCCGCGCTACTCGATTCAGATTTCAGATTCAGATTCAGTTTCAATATCAATTCAGTGTCGATTGCAGGTGTGTTTTGCAATTTTGGATTTTGTTTCGGGTGTTTCGAATTTACAAGGCGATTTTTGGTTTTTGTGAGTTTTTTGGGTTTGTATTGGTTGTTGTTTTTGGGTTATTTTACAGGTTGGGGCGTTAATTGTAAGGATATACAGACACGAAACGGGTTTGGTTGTATGTACACGCACACACATAGAGAGATATACATAGATACAGTTGCAGACATACATATAGATTGATTGCAGAACGAATTGATTGGCGTTTGACGGTGAGCGGTGAGCGATCGAACCGCAGATTTATCAGAGTCAAAGCACATGGAATATATCACACACGAGTGGAAGACCACGTCGAGAGGAGAGAGTGAGGAAGAGAGCAGAGGGAAGACAAGAAACAAGAGAGAGAGGGAGAGAGAGAGAGAGAGAGAAAGAAAGCACATAAAATGGGAAAAGAGAGATCACAGAGAGTACACGTTTATTCGGCTGGAGAGAGACAAACGTATCATAAATACGATGGATTGGTTGGGTATGGATAATACACTGATCTGATCTGATGTGGGTCATGAAATGGGTTAGTACGAGTACGAGTACGAGTACGATTAGTTTCTGCTATTAACTGAAGCCGTTTCCAAGCAATATATATTGTATGTACGGGTATGGAATGGTAAGCATCCAATCATCGTCATCATCATCATCATCATCATCATTAACATCATCAAAAAACGTTTATCAACAGCGAACGGGAAGCTTTCAAATGAAATTCTTAGTTAGGTTTTTTATGTTTTGTACAGATATGCATGTGTATCGTTTACTATATATGTATGTACAATATGTGTCGATTTATGGGAACTAAGAGGAGTCGGAAATGTTATGTAATGCAGGTGTATGTACAGCAGTATGTTAGGGAAGTGCTTTAACCTATAGAGAACCAACTAAAGCAAGTCTGCTTAATGAATCCATTCATACGATATATTATGAGCTGACAGGTGGCACATGGTAACACCTTAGTCGTTAGCTATCTCATAACTCATACGAGAGAGTCGCCGGGTGGCTTTGAAGAGAGCCTGGAGCCCCTTTCAAACACCACCCAAAGAAATTTTACAATTTACATTTGATATTACATATCTTGATAACACTTTCCTGACATACTTCACATATGTTTAGTATAGTTTGAAATAATCTTTAAATGAGTGTGTGGATGATATGCATTTTCTAGCATGCCAGCAAAAGCGTTAGGTACAAAGGTCAACAAGTGCTAATGACTAAATGGAGTAAGCAATCAATTTTAACATGGAATTGGACATATGTATGTATGAATTGATAAAAAATCTAGTGGATGTCTTAGGATCTATGTGTGTGTGTTGTTTTTGTGGCTGTTTATGTCGTAGTGGGTGGAGTGTGTGGATGTATGTATATTTTCATCACTAATGCAACTACAACCAAACTCAATTTGTGAGATTTACATTGAGACACAGACGTCATTTGTCGGTCGGAAGCTGCAGGAGCCGAGCCAAGCCTCATCGACGATGAACGATCATCGGATCAACGGATCAACGATCAAAAAACGAACGAACGAACGAATGAAAGCAGTTATGTTATGATCGCTATGGGTACAAAGAATTAAATAGTATTATCTTATGATTCGGTGATGCTCTAGATATTTTGCAAGCCAAAACTGAACCAATGCCGTGGCGATGCCAAAAAGCTTCAAAGCATATTTGATCGGTTCGGGATTACGAGAACGTTTACAAATACTATTGGAAATTGCAGCTGTTGTACTGGTTGTTGTTGTAGTTAGATGCATTGCGATTGAAAATAGTTGGTTTACCTGACTTAATGCCGTTGGCATAGCCTTCATCGTGTGAATATTTACCGGCAATGGTGGGATGCCAGTGATGCCACTAGTACCGCTCAGCAGCTTCTCCACGGAGGTCTGGCCAATGCCGCCGTAGGCGGCCGCGTTCAGTGATTGTATGGCATGGCTGCTTAGACTCGAGGATATGCCGCTGATTGAGTTGGGCACCAGGGCCGATATGGATTGGAGGCCACTACTCCCAGCTCCAGCTCCAACGGCGGCGGCCACGCTCTGCGAGCCAACGCTGGCGCCGCTCAAACTGGTGCTGGCACCATTGGGCAGCGTGGAGGCCAGGGAGTGCGGCAGACTCGAATAGCCGGAGGATAAAGCCGAGACGCAGCCGCTCGAGGTGCCGCCTAATACGGCCCTTTTATAACGATTCAGTTCTTCTTCGAGTTCTGCAAAAGAAATGTATGTTTAACTCATAGAAAAGCGTTTTAAGGGACGGCACTTACCACTCTTTGATATGGTTCTAAATTCGCTATTTACCGTGCTCAACATGGAACTGGGCGGCAATGCTGACATGCTGGCGCTGGCCGAGGTGCGAGGCTGTTCCAGCTCGGCCAGCACACGATTATCCTGAATACCGCAAAGCAAACAAGATAATAATTGGTTGTAAATAAAAGAAACCCAACTCATTGATCGCTAGAACTCATTTCGCTACTCTCAGGCAGTGCATAAGTCATAAGGTGATGTCGTCAGCAAATCTTCTCCCTTTCGAGGACCATCCGGTTGTCAGTTTGCATGTTAGCGTGCAGAACGTAAAACGTTTTCTATGTTTTCTAGCGGTTGTGAGAGTCAAGAGAGCGTGGATGGTCCTCACCACAGCGGAAGACGTCACCTTATAACTAGATTCATCATGAGCTAGACCCTTAGCGAAACTGAGATGCTAGAGATGGCACTATTGGTACGTGCCTGCCCTGACCCTACTGCAGAGCGCTTTCGCTCATGCATTTTCAAGTCTAAGTAGGCCTTTCCTACTTTCCTTTCCAATATTTTCGGATCAAAGTAGGACCTTACATTGTTACCCTTGGATGACTGGCGGAACAGTATACAAAACTAGGAACTAGGAAAACAAAGAAGTAACAGAGAAAAGAATTCGAAATTTAACGTTAGCAATAAATCAACTGGAGCTCTACGTCGCAATGAGCGACACCGAGGATTCAGCACCTATGAGTGATCTCATGAAGGCGGTCAGCGAGCTGTCCGATAGCTTCGGCCAACTGATCATCCAGATCGATGGGCTATTGCTGGATGCCCACGTAGTCGACTCGGAAATTTTAAGCTCTTGCAACTACCGCCACGAGCAGCTCATCAAGCATCTGGCGGATAAGGACGAGGAGGCGCTAGAGCTGCGCGAGAACCTGGAACTGAAGGCCACAGTGGAGGAGTACATTGCCGGCGTTCAGACGATCGTGGCCAAGTACAAGGAGCACTGTCAGGGCGACATGCTCTTGGAGAGCTACAACCTTCGTGAGAAATACATGGCGAGTCTCGAGGAGATTGTCAACGGGCAGGACGAGCGCATCGATCGCATGTTTGATATGATCAAAGTCCTCGGCCATATGAAGGATCTGGAGACCGAGCAAAACCAGGAGCTTATTCGCCGCCTCTTTGGAGAGAACGAGATGATGCGCTGCCAGCTGCAGATCAACAATGACGGCGGATTCCCCAAGGGACCGGGACCCCACGAGACTAACGAGATCGCCACGCAGTCTGATCTGAACGACTGGACTTCGGATGCGTCTAGTATGATTAGCTTCATGTCGGCTCTGTCCCAGGGCGTCGACGACAGCGATTCTCTATCAGGCTGCTCGGTGGTCAGCCAGGTCGAAGTCAATCGCTTCATAGAAGAGGCTCTGAGCAAGGATATCGATTCCGATGAGTCGTTTTCAAGCAGCGAGTATGAGTAAACCATCTCCGCTGATCATACACCAAAACCCTACCAGATGTTTCTCTCTTCGCTGCCACACCCACACCCACACCCACATATCTTTAACAATTGTCCTCTGCGTTGAATAAAATGAATATCTAAGGTTGGTTTCCCTTACAGTATCAGTAATGGGAGGGAACCCTTAGCCAAATCAATTTCCTGGCTGTTTCTGACTGCCCTTTACCTGCTCAATCTTTGCCATTATGATATCAATCTCCGAGCCTTGGTCCTGGTGGCTGATTGTCGGTGCCCATGTGACGGTGGAACTGCTAGCCGATGTTGGAATGGGTCCACCGCCGGACCCCGTAGCGCCACTGCCCATGTGGGAGGATTGGCCCGAACGCGCTGCCTTGGCCTTCAAGGCAGCCGTCAGTTCGATTTGCAGCTCCTCGCAGTGCACGTTCTCCAGCGAAACCTAAAGAAACAGTTAATCATTCACATAGTGGTCCATAGAGCAGTCTGAAACATACCTTCTTTTCCAGTTCACGGGCTCTCGACTGTAGGTTCTCAACCGCCTCGGCATCGGGACGAGCGCTTCCGCTTAGATTGCGAATTTGTGCCAGGGTTTCCTGGTGAATACACAAATGGACTAGTACAGGGGGCTTTTTAGGTTGTAGATGATGGGATGCCCCTACCTGATGCGCCCGTTCAATCTCTGTGCGTCGCATTTCCGAGTCCCGCAGCTGGAGGCTGAGGGAGTCCAGCATTCCGTTGGGAGCGGTGCCAGCGGCCACGGCAGCGGCCGCCGACTGATGGTGGTGCATCGACTCGTACGGCATGCTGTGGCTGCCCCTATGACGACTGAAATGCAAAGGAAAACAATGGAGGATTAGACTCTCTCTCAATCATCGATAAATAAAAGCCAGTCGGCGGGGGTCTCGACTGCGACTTGACTCCATTTAGCTCTTATAAATAGTAGTATTTTGTTGTTGTCTTTGATATCCCTTGCATTGGATATTTTACTTATTTATGTGCACGTCGTGGTCTTGTGGAAATAGGTCAGCTGCTGGTGCTTCGGCGGCTTTCAATAGGCGCCACCACGCACGTGTCTGTGGGTCATTGCTGAGGGTGTGAACTTTGACCTTAAGGTTAATTGCCTAGCTGACCGGGATTTATTGTTGTGTACTATAGCCACGCACAGGCTCGGAGGAGGCGTTGCCAGTACAGCCACTCATCGCACTCCACAGACTTGTTGAGAGATTGCTCATTTGGATATCCAGCCAACCGCCCCGTCACAGGCAGCTGTGAAATCTCTCAGAGACGCTGGACCATAGGATTCATTTGGGAGAGAAATTTCCATTGTAATGCTTCATCAAATGTAGAAAATTTTGTCTTTAAGGGGACTCTCTTCCTCTCTTTATCAAAACCCCATATCTAACACTCTCAGCCAGTCCCAGGATGAGTCAAGCAAAACATTACTCATACACCATTCTAGATATATGTACACTAAGAAAAAAATCACAATATCTGAATATCCACAGGTCGAATAGCATATCGTCTATACCAATTTCTTAATGATTTCAATAATTAATAATAGTTTGGGGCATAAAATAGTCAAGTGAGATAATTTTCCCCCACGGAATATCCTTTTTCTTCAGTGTAAACGAGGAAAGACCAAGGCGCCAGATGGTCTAGACGGCGGCAAGACTATAAGAATAGGAAGGATGTGAAAGTGTAGATGAGAAATGTTTGTTTAACGCAGAAAAATTAATGGTTCGCCATATAAAGAAGAGTGCACTTTCGCCTGGCAATGGAATTTGGAGTCATTAAGGTAAGGATATTGCAGTCAGGATGCGAAAAAAGTAACGAAGCTAAAGTATTAATTTAATTGGTCAGATGAAAGGTCTCCTCTGCGGCTTTGGCACGTGGGCTTTTAGTGAACGAAAAGTGCAGTAAAGTTTTCCGTAATGGAAACCTTAATCCAATTATTTAGGATATGGCCGCCGCACGCGTTGCCGTACGGTTAAGTGTAGGTGTAGGTGTAGGTGTAGGTGTGGGTGTAGAAAGAGCTGTTACATGCTGCACGGATTTAAGATTTATTAATATATCGTAGCAAGGGCGTAGCTCAGGTGCATCCACATCCAATCCTGTGCACACGCACACACCCACACGCACTCCTACACAGATACACAGATACAGTTTGGTTGGGCGCGGAGTGGGCTGTCAATTGCCGTGTTTATGGGTAGCGATGGCTGTATGGGCGGTGTGACATTTAAAAGCTATGACAACGTTTATCCTCTGCTGGCTGATGCCTGATGCCTTTATCTCCAGCGTGTGGTGCTGCTGCCCCGCCCTGTTGCTCGGTGGGCGAGCATGACAGCATTCAGCCGATGGAAAACGGAAGCCTTTTGCCATTTCGCAATACTTAGGCCCCTTCCGGTGCGAACATCAAAGGAAACCAACCAAAACCACCTGTCCACTGCAGCGGCACGCCGTCCTTCTGGCTGGTTGGCTGGTTGGCTGGCTGCCTGGCGCCTTTGTGGCACCCACATGTAATACTCGTATTATTTCTTGTTGCGCTGCCCCCATTGGTAATCACAATCACTGTCATCAACTCATTAACTGGCAAATCAGCCAGCAATCACTGTCACTTACTAATTGCCTGCTCCTGCTCCTGCCGCTGCTGTTTCCTCCTCCGCAATCCCTGCTGACATTTCCCTCTGCATATTACACATGCACCAAATAAATACCCACTTCACTTCGACCTCAGCGCAGCCCGACTCGGATGGAAATGCCCTCAGCGAGGCGCAACCAGGTTCCACATTCGCACAGCCGGCCACTAGTTGCTGTTATGCAGGGGGATGGCTTTCCTTTTTGTTGCTGTTACTGGCACTGTTACTGCGGCCGCTGCTGTTAAGCTCGCGCCGCTCGAATGGGCGACAGAGACAACCGTCTGGAGTTGTGTGAGAGAGTCGGTTATATGGCTCGATGGAGAGAGAGTGCGTGAGTAAATGTCCCTTCGGAGAGCCCGCACCTGCGCATGTGCGCGAGGCTGTTAACGCTTAACAGCGCCACATTTACAGCATGTAAATAACACAATGTAAACTGCTGCTGTTAGAAGTTTGGGCCACCAGACTTGTATGCTATATCCTTGAAGAGGGTGTTATTACTTTCAACAGATGATTGAAGAACCATAGCCATATCCCTGTTCCTTTTGGAAATCTTGGTTTTCTTCTGAAGAAGAAACCGGGTGACTAAGCCGGATGACTATCTCTCGCAGGAAGATCATTCTTCAAGGGTACAAAGTCTTCTCTTCTGCTTTAATTATGATGGAAGACATCATGGCATGAATTTCACAATGGCTGTTGCCTCGTGTTCACAAAGGCCTTTGTGAAAATGTGGGTGTATGCTTTTTTTCAGTTTGTTCTTTATTTTTATTGGTCTTTACTTTGTCCAGCAGTAGCAGCAGCCTCAGATTGCTATCGGGCCGCTGTCATTTCCTTGTTTGCCTTTAAACCCAAAGAAAAACAGGAAGAGCAACCAGGCCCCAGCTCCATACCCACCCCCCATCCCATATCGTCAGAGTATCTGCTTTGTGCCGTGCCTGTCGGTGACTATTTTAAGCGACTCACACTTGCCGCAGGAGGAGGGCGATGGTATGGTAGGGTCTGTAGCAGTGAAGCAGCAGTGCTTGGCACCATTTATCTCCCTAGAGTACAAGCACACACACCAACACTCGCTCACATATAACCCATACACTTATAAAGCTACCAGCTACACTGGAAGAAATATATGTAATAATCGATTCTAATATGTCAAATATTATAGCTTCAGACATTTCATTTCATTCAGATATGGTTAAAAAGTTACCAAATTTTAATGAACAAAGTTAAATTATGTAGTATTTCTCTCAGTGTAGGGTAGCCTACGTAATATCCGACTTGTTTGTCAGCAGCCTCCATCTTGGAATTGAAGCCTACTGGCTAACAAACAATTAAACATTTAGCCAACAGCCGAAGACCCCGCTGGCCACGAGACAGATGGATAGAGAGAGCCCCAGCCCGAGAGCTCCGTTTCCGCATAGTTGAGCCATCAATGTCGGCCACAAGCTTGAAATTTTAATGAGTTCTTAAAGTGCAGATTAGCCTCTCCGGGGCCCACGCTTCCACGCTCCCTTCCCCGAAACCGAAACTAGGTTGCGGCATGCCCCAGCGCAGCCTTACACTCTATTAACCCACATTTTGGCCGCCGTTGTGTGGCCAGGCCAGCGGAGTAAATGAAATGGAAAATTCCCATTCATTCTGCTGCAGTCGGAGGATACCTCAATATCTTCATTTCCGGCGAATGCTCATTTCTATATGCATTTGTCAGAGCAGCAGCAAGAAATGGTGTAAATACTCGTAATTAAAACAATATTTGATAAGTTTTTTATGGAATGGCAGAGGAAGAGGCAAACGCAGAGGCAGAGGGAGAGGGAGCGAGCGAGTGGAACAGGTCCTGCCAACTTTCGTTGGCCACAAACTACTGCAAACTAATTTAAAAAGTTTCCTTGGTTTTTCTGCACGGCACTGATAGTGCACATCAAGGGTATATTGGTACCTGTGCAGATTTATGCAACAAGCTGAAAAACTAGAGAGTTCCTTAAACCATAAATAATTCATTTAGCCTAGCATATTCCTTATCGGATGGTACGTAAAACCTGGATATCGGAGAGCATTAGAGATGCACTCATGAAGATTATGTTTGTTTCAAACTTGCGACATACAGATGTCGATCTGTAGTGGGGGAAATTGAGTAAGAATATTTTATTGAATATTTTAATCCTCGGATTCGGAACATGATTTGACCATTTCTTACCGATAGCTCGGCAGCTGGGTATCCCTATAGCCGACTCTAGGTCGTTCTGGCTTCTTTGTTTTTCGGTTTTTGTTCTGCCACCCCAAAATTCATTTACTGAAAAGTGGCACTTGCTCTACCTTCGGGTTATGTGTTGGTGTTGACAGACAAGTTTCGCAAGAAATGCAATTAACTTGCAGCTGGCATCGCATCGGTAGCCTTTGCCTTGACAAATTGCTCCACGAATTTCCCAGCAACGCAAACATTTGGCAGATAATTTGTACTTATTGAACATTTCCCAAAATTACGTTTGTGTAGAGTTTTTTCAAAGTTTTTCCCGCTGCTTGAAGCGTGCTCAATTAAATTAAATTCTTCGCATTGTCGAATCGCATTAACGAGTAAGTACCTCTAATACCAGCAATTACAGAAACTATTACCAGAACTATTACATGCATAAATATACGTACAACCATGGAATGGAGAACAGAACCTTCAAAGAAAGTCCTCAGAGTGAAACTTTTCAAAATAAGACAAAAACAACGGAAACTTTTTAAAGTCAAGCAATTACGTTTTGAGATGTGAGAAAAGTTCATTATCCTTCTCATGATTTGACCTCAATCGCAGAGCCGCCAAGGAAAAGCGGGCCCCATGCCGAAACGGAACAAGAGCACGAACGCGGAAAAAAAAACTATCCAGCCTATTTATAACAAACTATATACCCACTCACAGCCATAGTCGTAAAAACCATGGCGCAGTTATGGGGGAAAGTGGGGGCTAGAGCCGGCGGAAATCTCATGCGGCCACTCAACCAGGGTCGCCGAAGCCGAACAGCGCCTGAATTATTGAATGATGGCCATATGTCAAAATTGGCCAAAGCCAACGATTAATCCTTGGCGAAGAAAATACGTATACGAAATTAAATAGGTTTTCTTTAAGATGCCAGCAGAAGCGAAGGCCAAATCCAGAGCGGGTCTGCTGATCTGCAAAATCATACGGGTATCATCATAGGATCTTATAACAACAAATGTATATGGGATAGTTCGAGTCCACTTGGTTAAGGACTCCAGAGGACTCGCATCATTTAACAAGACCCCATAACTAAGGTCCTATTGATTGATTTTGTTATTCCTGTCGTTTGGCGCGTGACTTCCGATCATTGCAGAAGGAGCAGAGCATAAGGTTAGGCCCGTCATAAATACAAACAAAATGCGTGGGAAACAACAAAAACGTGGGCAAAATTAAACGTCAACGGAATTCAATCAAAAGTAAATGTCATTGAGCAGTGCGAGGGAGTCGGAGAGAGGCGTGGGAGAGAGATGGCAGCCACTGTTATAGTAGTATGAATATGTATGTAGAATGTTTACACCTACACACGCGCTAACACACGAACGCCAAACGGTAAGCACACCGCTCTTCTTCTGCCTCTGCCTCTGCCTCTGCATTTCGTACTACCCTGCCTACATCTCCTGGTCTTCCTACATCTCCTGGGCACTGCAGAGCCCCTGCTTCTCCTCCCTGTGCTCCAGTTTCAGTTTCAGGGGCCATTTACATACTGCTTTACCTACTTACCTCTCGCTCTGAAGTGCTTTATGTGCGAGTGTAGTATAATGGGTGTGATTGTGTTAGTATTCGCGCCCAAATGCAGTTGATTTGATTTATTAACCAATTAGAGTGCCTTCGTTTATGCACTTTACAGTACGCTTAGCAGTTTTTTGTGCGAATTTCATTTTCATTCAACGTTTCGATTACTCTCATTTGCATATCTGCCTGCTCGTACGTGTACATACACATGTGCATGCATGTGTTCGCCTGTATGTATGTATGTTTGACGGGTTGCTTTTTCCCCTCATCGATAAGCTCCTCTTACACTTTTACTTTTCACTGCGACCCCTTTTCCACACTTCCCCTTCTGCGAGAGGTCCTGCGAGTTTTGTATTGCACTTTTGTCACTTTACTCTTCATTTTCATTTAGGAAAAACTCTTTTGTCACTCGCGAACTTCCTTTTTTTTGCGTTTTTAAGGGGCCCAATGAAAATTTTCACGCAGCAGCAGGCGGCTGCTGCTAGCGCTCGCTGTTGGGGAAAAACATTTGGTGTAGAGCAAAATTTTCCGTGAGCACGCTTCATGACTTTTTTTCATTAATTTTTTTTTTTGTTTCTTTCCGTACCCACCGTTCGAGGAGTCCAGTAGTCGCCCAGTACGGTGGCTCCCCTCTCGTATGGGGAAAAATGTTACACTTTTTGTATCGGATTTATCACTGGACTGGATATGGATGGGGGAAAACGAAACGAAACGAAACGGGACTTTGTACGGGATGCGAACCTTTTTTGCTGCTTCTGGTGCTTCTTCTTGCTCACTGCTGGTGCTTTTTCAGGTCGCCTATGCCAAGTTTCCTCTTCCACGTTTCCTCTGGCGAATTCACATAAATGCATAGAGTTTACACTAGGCTACGGCTACGAGTTGTACATAATATCGAAACTAAGCTACATATATTAGGCGCGAGTTTAGTTAACAACTGCTTTTCACAAAAAAATTCAATTTAATTCCATTTAGAAGCACAATTTTTTCGGATAGCAGTTGGGCTCTTGTTCTGTTGGTGCGAAAACCGAAAAGTGGGTCATCTCGGTCGCGCTGCTCGGCTGGTTTGTACTCTGATTTCTGCCCGACTGCCTGCCCGGAGTGGCCCAGTGTGCACGGCAAATCGATTTTTCTGTCAAATGACACTGAAAAATGGGCAATTTTCTCCGCACTTTGGCGTTGGCGCTCTCTCTCTCTCTCTCTCCCCTTTTGGGGTTGAAACTGTTAACGGTCTGCCACTGTTAAGGCTAACAGCCGCAGCTAACACAAGAGATTCCTACTGTAGGGGTAGTCATTTTTTACGCACAAAAGAAAGTAATTTCTTACAAGATTCTTGATCGGATAGGTCAAAAAGTATTCTAAAATCTTAAAGATAATCCCACAAAACCCAAATAAAACTAAATAAAAAACCTTCTGGAGTAAGCACAATACATCAAAAACTATAAACCACTATCCATGTACAGATGATCTATTTTTCAGCTCCATCCTTTTGTGTGCAACGATCTTTGACCCGTAGTAATATGAAACAAAAAGTTTCCTCTTGGAATATAAATACATTTATTTGTCGCTTTTGTTTTTGTTATTTCTACATTATGAGTTTTTGTTTTATTTGTTTCTTTTCGTTTTTGTATAACATTTTTTAAATAAAATAATTTTCGTTCATTATCCTGTTGATAGTTTGCCTCTCGGCCACCTACTCTACTGTCTTTCTCTACCGCATTTTCAAATCAAACATGTCATCAAGTAAATGATTATTATTATGTATAGTTGTTCAATTTCAAACTCTAACAATTAAAAACAGTTAAAAATTCAAGGGTTATTCATCGTCTTCTTCTTCTCTGGTCTACATACATTTCCTGTGTCGCTCTCATTTTTCACTAATTTTAAATTTATTCGTAGGCGCTTTTCCTAAACAAAAGCAAACAAACGGCTGCAGTTGTTGTTGTTAACAGAAAAAGAATGAATTATTTACAATAAATTGTAAACGAGAAAAATAAACAACACATGCACACAGTCGTCCTCTCCATCAAATAGTTTCTCTTTGTCAATCATAAATTACAATCAATGCTTGGGGCCTTTGCATTTTTTAGCATTGGGTTTAGTCTCCGATTAGTGGTTACATATCCATATACATACATATAGATATGGTGTACATTAGGATTAGGCTTAACTAGATAGTTGCAACAGATTTTCGTTTAAACATTTAACTCGGACTGCTTTTGTTTCGGGCTCTTTTTGGGGCGAAGGAGTGTGTGTAATATTTGTGTGCTTGCATTTCTTATGCGCTTATCTCTTTCTCGATTTTATTTGATTTGTGTGTGTGTGGGTGTAGTTAAATGGTTATTTAAACATAAATTTAAAATGCCACTAAGGTTTGTCATAATTCAAACATTTAATTTTCTACTCGCATTTGCTCTTAACTGTCAGCATTATTTGATTCGTTTGCCGTATTAGAAAAAGTGCACTTATGAATACTGCATTCGGTCTGGAAATAGAAGAAAACATTGATGGTTGATTAGTGCGGGGGCATATCCTCTTCATACTTTACTATTCTGAATCGATTATCTGGCCTGGGTACGGAAAAGGTCACCAGGGGACAGGCCAATTACCTCAAGGCCGGTTAGCATTAGTGCCTAAGCGAAACCATTACAGTTCGATTTGCAATTTAAAGCAAATGCCCCACCCCCACCCCACTCGTAGAAGAGTTACTCCATTCTATTCCAACAGCTGATAAACATAAACCCGGAACGCCTATGGCATGACATCATTCTTACGGTTGGCCCGATACGATAAGAAACCAGATATGAGACGATTAAAGAAACCGGCTGGCTATCAGACAGGCGGGTAAAATTCGCTCGCAGTCCCTTACAGAAACGATAAATAGACAAAGTGTCTTTGTCACAACACTTACTGTCCTTCTTTGAAGTACTCCTTCAGCGTTGTGCTGAACTTCTTGGAATATTTGACAAACTCTTTCTTCCGCTGCTCCACAGCCTGCTTGCCCGTAACGCCCGGTATGAACGAGCCGATCTCGTTGACCACATCGAGCAATTTCTTTATGGCGCTGGCGATTTCCCTGCAAGCAGATGGATGATTCACAATTAAACAGCGTGACGATAGATAGATACGAGTAGGGACTCACTTAATGGTCTCCAGAAAGGTCTTCCTATCGTTAATCTCGTCGGGTATGCGACTGAGGATCACCTTGAGGGCCACTGACTTGCGGTTCAGCTCCTGGAAGGGCTCCTCGGTGCGTGTCAAGCGGTATTCATTAACTGCGATAAATATATAAATATAAACGTGAGAACAAACACAAAAGGTGAATGCACACACAAGCACAGGCGCATGGGTATGGGTATGGGTATGGTATTGGTGTATGCAAGTGCATTCAATTGTTTGCATTGTTCGACTTACGGTCTGCTTCTGTAATGTTGCCCTGCAATCGCAAGACGGCCTCATTCAGGTTGACATTTAGATCAGCACGTCGCACGATCGTCGCAACGAGGTCGTAGCAAAACCCCGGATTGTTCTGCTCCGATTTAAGTATGGCCGAGCGCAGAGATTGAGCTGCGCCAACATCGCGTCGCTCCAGCTGAAAATGAAGTTAAATACACGTTTATGCAACATCCGTAAATCTGGCAATCCGCCCCCCAGTTTCCACTAACTGGCATGGCGTTGTTTGGCCGTTTGGGTTTTCATACCTGTGAGAAAATAGGCCGCAGTATAACGGGCAGAACGAGAGACGAAGTTGGCTCACGCTCGCCCATGGTCATTTCTATGTACTTCGTCTATTGCCTACGTCCGATCTGGCTGCAACCTATTGCGTTGCGTTGATGGTACTTCCTATGTCGACTGGCGCATGCTGCACTTTTGTTCAATGGTTCCGCTATCTGGGCCACGCTCTGCACTCGCACGACTTGCACAAATTAAATTAAAAAATTAACAAAAATTGTTCACAACAAAATGGGCACAGTGTTGCCAACAATGCACTCGAGCTGGTATATCGGTCACTCGATATATCGATTGCACTCGTGCTCCTAGTGATGTGCGGTCACAAACAGCTGATCGGCATCGGTTGGTTGACCCACCGCTAGTACGCCTACAACAATATATTTGTTTATAAACAAAAAATGTCAGGACATGACATTAAACTGGAGGTTTGTGTGGACTCGATTGGTTCAGCATTTGCCGCCGAGGTTGGAGGTGCCTCGCGCATAGAGCTGTGCTCGGCACTGGGCGAGGGCGGCCTCACACCCACCGTGGGTACGCTGAAAACGCTGAAGGACTCGTTTACGCTGCCCATATTTTGCATGCTGCGACCCCGACGTGGTACAGACTTCCTGTACAGCGAGGAGGAAATGCAGGCCATTCTCACGGACATGGCTCTGCTGCGGGAGCATGGCGCCGACGGCTTTGTTTTTGGCGCGCTTAACACAGATCGCACCATCGACGCCAACAAGTGCAGGCAAGTGATGCAGCAATCTGGTGGCTTGCCCGTGACCTTTCACCGGGCCTTTGATCTCACCGACCAGAAGCGTATGCACGAGCATGTCGAATTGCTGCGGGAGCTGGGCTTTAAGCGTATCCTGAGCAGCGGTTTCCGGCCATCGGCAGCCGAGGGAGCCGATTGTCTCGCTCAGTTGATCGCCAAACATCACAGGGACATCATCATAATGCCTGGAGCGGGCATCAAGGTGGCCAATCTAGAGGAGATCCTGACAGTCAGTCGGTGCCTCGAGTTCCACGCCTCTGCCATGGACACGGCCGGCGAGGACTATACGGCGCCCACTACCACACGCATGGAATGTGATGTGACGATGGGCAAACAGGACATCGACCCCTACTACGGCACCAACTCGAATGTGGTGCGCAAAATGGTAACCATAGCCAATGCCATGAGTTGTCGATGAGGATAGGAGCATAAGAGGATGGTGCATGGTGTTGGCTAGCTTTAAGTTAATTTTCTATCGCCAGACTGACAAATGTTGTGCATCAGGTTCATCAATATAATTCGGAATTGATAGAGATCCCAGCTCTCAGTTTGTGAAATTCGTATGGTAGTCTTTTTTCTAAAATTCAAATCAAAAGCAATATAAAAAAATTAAGGGAAATTTCCTAGTAAATTTTAGATCAACCTGCGGACCAGCACCACCATCGAAGGCGTAGTCATGAGTGAACATAAACAAAAGAAGACCACATCAACGAAAAGTAAAACGGACTTTGGACGACAGGTGGACAGCATGCAGGATGTGTTGCAAAGGGTCGAAATGTATGGGAACAAGCTTAGCGATCAGATTCACAATATCAAGAGGCTAGTGCGGACCAATCAAAATGTCGTGGCCCAACTGAGGGCCAACGAGAAGACTCTCAAGTCGCTAATCGAAGAAAGGCGGAGACCAGACCAATCAGCCATCAAACCATCAATCAAACCAAACGGTGCGGTCAAGGCGGTCCACAATGGAAATGGTGCCTGTGAACAAGGACCTGGAAAGCAACTCCTGAAGACAAAATCTGTAAGGGGCGTAAACGGTTCCTCCGAAGAAAGAGCTCTAGCGCGACTCCTTGGCGTAAAAACAAAACCTGTCTTGAACGAAAATGGGGCCTTAGAGCGAAGAGCTTCCAAACAACTCCTTGGCCCCAGGACAAAGTCCGTATTGAGCGAAAATGGTTGCTGCGAAAAAAGAGCTTCAACGCAACACCTCGGCGCGACTATAAAATCTGTCTGGCAGGAAAATGGTGCCTGTGAACGAAGAGCTTCAGCGCAACTCCTTGGCGTGCGAAAAAGGATGAATTCTATTGATCAAGAAATGGAACGTTTGCGCGCGCCTCGGTCTTGCTTTCCAATCAAAAGGAGCCCACATCGTGAGGCTTGCAAGGCGGCCACATTTGAGGAAATATGCTGGACACAATGCAAGCCCACGACGGAGGGCTATTTGCCGCAGAAAGAAGCCAAGGCGGCCGGATGTTCCACTGACGTATCATGGGACAGACAAGCGCTGTATAAATCACTCCAAATTGACTTGGATAATCGACAGAGGGGAGGCCGGGATGCTCCTGCTCCGGCGTCGTTGTATTCCCTAGATGTGGATCTGGTTCGCCATCAAAAGCTCATTGAAAGAGGTATGTAAATAGAAATCTTTCACTTGAAAGACTCCTAAAACTATAGCCCATCAGTTGAAAACATTTTGGAGAGCGTTGAAAGTTTGCAAATCAAAAGCGAGACAGTTTCGGATGTGAAGATTCTTTGTAATCTTGTGAGGAGCGCTCTGATTCAACGGCAGAGGAGCCTTCAGTTTGGCTGCAAGCAGCCGCGCCGCCGCGAAAACGATTTCAATAAAATCACGTTCTCGAAAGTGTGTCTGACACATAAAAACCCGTACATCTAGAAACATTTTGAATCATATTTATGAATAATAAATAAATACAACAAATATCAACCGATCCGATTGTTCCTGCACATCTTATCGATAAACAGCATATGTAGCATACATTTTGGCGCTTTAAGCGCATGCGCAGGTAAAAATTGATTCATTTCATTCTTGCCTTTGTGTTTGGCCAGAATGGAGCCCTCTGAAGCAAAGATATTGTGATATCTGTAATTCCAGACTGCCTCGACTTGTATTGTCAATGTCAGACACTTGCAAAACCTATGGAGACATTCAGCATGGACTTGGACTTGGACTTGGATGTGGCCAGCGCCAGTGGAGGGGCAGTCAGCCAATACGAGCTCTCCTACGGAGACCATATGGACACGTACAACGTTGAGGTAAGACGACCCCTGCCTTAAAATTTACATATGTGAAAGGTGTTACTGTGTTTTTGCAGACCTCCGCCGTTCATCGTAAGCTGCAGAGCAAAGTAGAGGCATTGAGGATACTGCGGCTGGAGCTGGAGCAATTCCGCGTGGAACGGGATCAGTATAAGCTGATGGCAGAGACCCTGCAGCTGCGCTACTCTGCCCTGAAACACAATAGCGAACTCGTGACCGTGGGCGGCAACGGATGCGGCCCCCTCAGCCAGAACTCGAGTCTTGCTGCACTGCTACACGAGACCCGGGAGCAGAACCTCAAGCTAAACACCGAAGTGGAGGGCTTGAAGCAGCGGCTGAACGAGATTCAGGGAGACATGGAGCTGCTGCGTGAGACAGAGGCCAGCAACAAGGCTCGGGTGCAGGCCATGGCCAGCGAGAATGCGGCACGAAACAAAGAGGAGCTGCAATGGAGGCGGGAGCGGGCCAACTTCATTTGCCATCTGGAGAATCTGAAGAAGAAAAACGCGCAGCTGGCGTTTGATTTCAAGGCGATCATTGACGAAAAGGAGGAACTGATTACAGAGCGGGATGCGTACAAGTGCAAGGCGCATCGCCTAAATCACGAACTATTTGTGGCCCTCAGGGCCAAGAAAACGCATCCCAAGGTAAGGTTTTTGTTTGGTTCAAGCAATACCAAGTTTTTGCATGGCCAAAAAGTGGTTCGATGTTTTTCGGACTGTATATTGTTCTTAGATTCTGGGATCGACTCAGCTGCTCAAGGGTGATGCAATATCTTGGTATTTTCGAATCTTAAAACTCATAATGTTTTGCAGCTGCTCGATATTGATGGCGTATTGTTGGAGAACAAGTACCTGCATGAACGTGTGAAAATCCAGGAGGGCGAGCTGGATCTAACCAAACAGAGCATTTCCAAATATAAGGTAGCAAAACAAATCACGTAAATTCATCGACTGTGTACTACAATCAATCCCTCTTTAACCTGCCCCTCAGTCCATGTTAGATGCGAAGCGCAAAAAAGGAATTGTGAAACTTGGCGGCGGCACCAGCGCAAACGACGAGACCATATTGAGCCCCAGGCAGGGTAAGCCTCTGTAGTCTTCCTATTACCTCCACTTTAATGCTTTCATTTTCAGTTAAGACAATTCTAGAAAGCGGCATTGATTTGCCACAGAAAACGGAGACCATACATGACCTGAAATCCTTGTGCTTGGCATTACTCGATAACCTGAACGACAAGAACCTGGCTCTAACGCATCAGAAGAAGACCAACAAGTGAGAGATACTCAGATATAACCATTCAAGAGAATTTCATTCAAAGAACTCTCTATTTCCACAGAATACTCGCTGGTAAAATGACAGACTTGGAGCAACGTTGGCAGCAACTCCTGGCCGGTGATGCAGATAGTGCTGATGCGGATCAGGAGGATGATGACGACTACGGCTATGCCCCCTCGCAGCTACTGCTCAATGGCTACTGCGCCGCTATGGTTGATGACATAGACATTAGCAGCATTCCGTCCAGTGCTCCAGATAATGCTGGCGGCACTCTGACTCCGGAACCGGAGGAACACAACAAGCACAAACCAAGTGACTGCAATGGGATAGAGACGCTGCAGCATTCTGACGATGGCATGTCATCGCTTTCAGCCGAATCGGTGGACTCGTCCGTCTACGAAGTGGATGTGCAGAGGGAGGACTTCCATAAATCATCGTCGGCCACCACAGACTCCGGCAACTGTGGCTTTGGCACCCGCAGCAATGGTACGCCGCGCATTTCCAGCGCTGTGGCCCGAGAGCGAATGGAAGATCTTAAGGACTTGCCACCGCATTTGGCCACCTTGGTGCAGAAGGCGCTGCATGAGCTAGACCTGCGCGATTACGAGGCATTGGTCACAATAAGAGCAGAGAATGTGGCCTCTATTATCCATTAGTAGCAAAATCTAGTCCCATATTTCTATATATTTTCCCCAAGACAGGACTTTAATAGAACCATATCGTAAATGTTGACAAGATGCCGTTCTATTATTATATATATATATTAATATACCCGCCTACAATTAATATATGTATTTAAGGAAGGGAATGTTGGGATCTGCCTTTCCCAACGATTATTAATAGTACTATTTTCCGCGGCTTAAATCAAGTTGTTATCGTGTTTAAATAAAGGGGGTTTAAGTGGGCTAAGTTCGTGCCTCACGGTATATTTTGAAAATGAGACCGTATATTTCGGTATATTTCTGAGGGTGAGACCGTATAATTTGTCGCTTAGTAAAGAACCGCAGAATTAAAAATATTTAATAATAAACATTTAATAATTTAATCAAATATGACGAACCTTCAACGCTGGCTTTTTTACGCAACGCTCTTCGCAGTGCCCTACCTCTCTGTAGTGCTGGGCACAGTGCAAACGCAGTTTACGAGCAAATATCTGCTGCACATTCAGCTGTTGCCGCTGCTGCTGCTGGTTCTCTTTGGCGTAAGTGGAGGGAATTCATGGAAGGAATCATAATTAATCCCCATCTTGTCCAATAACCCTAGCTGTACTCCGTGTGGACTGTGCTGTACCGGACATTTACCTTCAACGATTGCCCCGAGGCGGCAAAGGAACTGCAGGCTGAGATTCTAGAGGCCCGCAAAGATTTGATTGCCAAGGGATTTCGGTTTCGCGACTGATGGAGTGGGCAACATACTACGCTGAAACCTTGTGCATGTTAATTTGTAATTCCATTAATTATAAAAGTTGTATATGAATGTACTTTGTGCCGCTTTTTGGTTTTTGCGTGCGTCGAAAACATTGCAGCCGCATGAGATTGATTTCCCCAGGTGGAAAAGTTGGAAAACATTTGGAGATTCAGTTTGTGAGGAATGGAAATACTGAACACCCACCAGACTGAGTGACAGATAACGCTGGAAGAAAATATCTTCCTTATATTGCATCCATCCGTAATGAAAAACCGTAAGGAAGCGTGTCACGTCATGGCGCAACGCTGATTGTACATTTATGGAGAGCCGCATGATCTGGAGTACAAAGGTACCGGAAAGAATTTAAGTAATTATTCGCAGAGTCCCCAAAGAGCTATTAATTGAACCTACAGCTGGCCTTGTTTCTAAAAATAGTGAACGCTAACTTTGTCGCCGCAGGTTACATATTTTTTATTCAATTCAAATTGTATGCCATCTCTAACTAATCCTAGTCGCTAGCCGCTAACCAGTCCCGAGGTATATCTGTATTAGGTAGGGCCACTAATCAAATGTATGTACGTATGTATATAGATGCGACGGTATCAACAAGAGAGCTGCGAGAGTTCCCAAGAGAACCGGTCTGCACACAGATGTACATTCAAATGCAGTCGCAACGTGGCTCGACCCAAAGCCAAGCTAAGAGCTCTCAGAGCCGACGGCCCATGGAGAGCTCTCGCGACGTCGACTTACCTTTTATAGTTTTACCCTGCCCAGCCCCAATTATGCATGCTAGACGCCAACTCGGACTCTTTGGGGGGCTAGCTAGCGTGTCAAGCTTTGAGCACAAACAAATCGCGCTTAGACGTCTCTCGCAACAGAACTGCCGCTGGTTACGTGTCCGAAAATTCCATAAAAAGCGAAATGAGTCACAAATTCATTGGTGTCTGCCTGCTGCTGGCCTGCCTGGTCGCCTCCGTCCACAGTGCTGCCAAGGTGAGTCTCCAGTCCATCTAGCCCATCCTTAAGTGGTCAAGCCCTAGACGAGGCCACGCGAATCAGCGCGCAAAAACAATGATTGCACAACTAAAAAGCGTGTCAGGGCCCCCGAAGACGCCGCAGTATGCACGAGTGCGAGCATTTAGGTGGAAAAGTGCATGAAAAGAAATAGTTACCGAAAATAGCAACTCTGAATAGTGATTGTAGAGTGGTGCTGCACCCTTTTCGGGGCAGCAACAAGTGGCACGGGTTGACTGAACTGTAGGCTGTCGGAAAATGCCATGCCACGGAAAATCATTCAGCATAATTTCCATTGTACAGCTCTGCTACTCTGCTCTGGTGGTATTTTCGTTTGTTGTTTGTGATGCGAACCGGTTCTGATACCAGTTTCGAATAGTGGGAACCGGTGTGCGCCGGCGACCAACTGCAACTCCATTCTTCCCCGCCCCCCGCCCACCAACCTGTTGGTGTAGTTGTTTCGGTTGTGGTTGTTCCAGCGAAAAAAAGAATGGTATGGTATGGTTCTTCCAGCGGTGTGTCAGCGGATTTATATAACTTTGGCCCCAACTCCGACGCTTTGTTCGTGGAAAAAACAGAAAATAATTTGCATATGTGTGTGCACACCATTCCGTTTATTTTTATTATTTTTTAGAAGTCATTGTTAAATTTATTGCGCATCATTTGCCGCCCGTAGTCACGACATACAACACACACTAGTTTGGCAAAATGAAAAGTAATTTTTTACAAATGATATTCCCTGATTGGTGGGAGCTTTAACCACATGGTACTTCAAATTTGTGTGCATGTATAGTTTATTGTAGCCCTAACCTTTAGTTACGTTCATATAGGAACGTTTGTAAATAATACATAACTCTCGCAAAATACTTTCCAAGATAATATAAACCAGTTCATCCTTTGCAAGAAGAATATAATATAGAATATAAAATCTATAACGAATGACTTTAAGCAGGCTGCACAAATATGTAAGGCTAGTTTTGGAATCCACTGTATTTATTTTCACTTGTATATTTTCTCAATTGTATACTAGAATTTCATTGTTGGCATTTACTAATTATGTATATATGTATATTCATTTAGTTTAGTTTTGATCTACTGGAGTTTCTTTCTGCTAAGAGCCGGTGCTATTTTAGAGACCCAATACTTACCATTGTAGCTTATATTGTAGCTGGTGCACACTGTACTCAGTCTCAACGGAAACAGCTTTACTTTGATTGAATCTGTGACTCAGGCTGGGAGTACGACCACTTAAATTGATCGAAATGAAAGAGGGAGAATAATTGGAAGACGAACTGAGAGCAGATTCATTAGCTGGGATCGGCGAAATCGAATGAGTCGTCAATTCCCTCAATTGAGGCACTCGACATACATACTCATATAAAACCACATTTTAAGTGCTAATCCAATAAATATATACTATGTACATATGTAAAAACATCTGTACATCAAAGTCATACAAGCCAATTATAGGCTCCAGTATAGGTGCATTGGTACACACACACGTTTACATATACGCATATTTCTTTTTAAGAGACTTCCCAATCAAACAAAATCTATCCTAGAAGACAGTGTCGCTCAAAGTTTGTATCCACGAACCCATCAACGTTTCATAATTTTTTGTTTTGCTTCGAAATAAGGTATCATCTATAATCGACCGGTACCAATTGATCTGGGTTATATACGAAATATATGTCCGTCTTTCATTTCGTGGTGAGAAGCGAAATTTCATAGAAAACCAGCAGTCAATTCATTGTTAGGGCCTAGAGACTAGGGCCTAGGCAGTAATATCTTCAATTGGAGCATTGGCTAAAAAGCAATATTAGAGAATGTATTAAGATACATATATTATTTAGAGTTGTGTACGCACCATCCTTATAGTACATACAAACGTCTATACGTCTATATTTTCTGTATCTACTCGAACTTGTGCCTTCTTTGTCCACCAACAAATGCTGGTTAATGCTGAACAACATTTTCAACTGCCAAGTGAGGCATGAGGCATGTGGCATGTGGCAATTGTCCCCGTCCGACAAACAAAGAGTAATAATATTTTGCAGTTGCCAACTCAGCCGCAACTGATTTGCAAACGATTTGCATGCCACAACTGGGCTGGACTCTCGCAAAAATGCAAATTGCAAATGCCGCCTAAACAACTGTTTTCCATTTTGTGTTCCATCTCAGGTGCCCATTGCCATTTACTACGAGTCCCTGTGCCCGGACAGCGCCAAGTTCATTACGGAGCAGCTCTATCCGGCCGTAAAGGGGGAGCTGCGCGATGTGGTGGATCTCACATTTGTGCCGTTCGGCAAGTCCCAGGTGAGTGCTGTGGCAGGGGCCACGGGGGCGACCAGGACAATGGCTCATTTGCATCGGTATCTGTTTGCCCCGGCAGTTCTTCACGCAGGGCGCCGAGGTGACCTTCACCTGCCACCATGGACCGAACGAGTGCTACGGCAACAAGGTGCATGCCTGCGCCATCGAGCACATCCAAGCCAACTCCTACCAGATTGAGTACACGCGCGAGTCGCTGACCCTCGACTTCATCAACTGCCTGATGCGGGCCGGCAAGAATTTCCCGGACAACGTGTACCCCGGCCAGCGCTGTGCCACCGAGAACCACATCAACAACTGGGAGAACATCAAGACCTGCGCCAACACCACCGAGGGCAGTCAGCTGCTTCGTAAGGCCGGCGAAGCCACCATGCGGCTCAAGGAGCCCCTCACCAGCGTGCCCAGTATTCTCTTCAACGAGGTGAGTGCATCGTCACTCCAGGAGGTGATCACGTAACCAACTTCTTCCATTGTCTTGCAGCAATTCGAGAAGAAGGTCAACGACCGCGCCCAGGTCAACTTCATTGGCACCCTCTGCCAGTACGTCTCGGCGCCCCAGCCCAGAATCTGCGCTCAGCACAACGCCGCCGCCACCCCTAGCCTGGCCAGCGTAAGCGCCATCTTAAGCTCCCTGCTGGGTCTTTGGTCTATCCGCTCCTTCTACTAAGCTGTCAAGTTTCCAACTGAATCTGAATCTCAATCTTCAATTGCTTCCGCCCCAACTTCCGTGCAATGGGGAATCTCAATGCCTTATGATTTGTTTTTCTCTTTTGTTCTGCTTACTGGTTTGCTTCCAGGCCAATTGAAACCCAAGCCGTCCAATCGTCCAGCTCCAATATATATATCAGAGATCAAACTTATTTTGCACGAGCTGGAGTGCTCTTAAATGTAACAATTAAATAAAACGTTAAAAACAGAAAAATTGTGAATTCTTTAAGTACAGGTTTAAATAATATAGAGAATATTGGAATATTTTCCGCAGGATGTATTTTATTTTTTCGTAAAACCCCCTACGCATAGAAATCTATTCAAAATTTATCCGACTATATTCGAAGGACTTAACCTGGACCCGAAACTGTCGAAAACATGAAACAATTTGGATGCTAAACTGCGGAACAGACATTGTAGAAAAATAATATGGGATCTTAACTGCTTGACTTGGACTCAAGATTACATGTTGTATATAATTGATGTACGGTCCATTCCATCAAGGTGATGTCTGCAAAGACTAGGGGTCTTTGGTCACGTCAGTGATGCCGTGATGACGTCAGATTGTAGATCTGTCCATTTGTAGATCCATTTGTAAAGTAAAGCATTGAATGTAATTTCGAGAAATTGTATTACGATTACTATTTTCTCTCAACAACATGTTGTAGAGTATATGGATAACCCAAGCTCCCTTGCTGCATTTTAATACGATTCAAGAATCATCCCAATCAGCCCTATGGATCTCGGGGTTTCTCTATAAATTTAAATATAGTAGTTGTAGGCGTAATCTCTGAGAAGGAACCGGGTTAAGTCAGGGTGCTGCCAGTTCTAGAAATTATGTGTTTATGGTTGAATGAGTCCAAAGTCCTCGCGGATGATGCACCTTAGTGATGGCAGCATGGGGAGATGAGCGCCGACGAGGAAGCCCTGCATGGGGTGGGAGCTTACCCGTAATTCACATGTTTGTTGTCAAATATTTTGATCGCTCTGCGGAGCAGCGTCAGCTGCTTATCGTGTAATTTGTTTTTGGTGCGAGGCGATAAGCTGCGCTGCCAGGCTCCTGGAATCGGCAGTGCTGCTGGGGCTGGGCAGCAACAGGGAGGAGCGTTCGACGGATAGATTACAGCAGATGGGGGACTGGTGGTGGGAGGCTATCGCGGAGTCGGGTAATTGTTGTAAACAAGTCATTAGCAAATCAATTTGCGGCCGCTGTTGATATGCAAGTGAGATTTCCTTTACACCAAATGCTGAGCTAGGGGAAAATTCAAAAGCACCTCAAGTGAATCGATCAAATGTGGGGCACTAAACTAATTAAATGGCCAGCGCTTTCGACACCACGTGAACATATACTGGGGCATCATCTGGGGGGTAAGGTTCGCAGTGCACTCTGACTGGGCCCACGGCACTGTGGCATCTGCGTCAGCAGGCGGAAAGTGGCAAACAGGTGCAAAATGGATTCATTCATTCATGTATTCATATCTGTTGAAGTGACGCGCTCGCTTTGGCTGTGGCATTGGCTGTTCTGCGATGGCAGAGGACCAGGTATTGCCGAGCAAATAAATCTGAGCGCGTTGCTAATTTGACGTTCCCCGGCACAGCCCTCTTCCACTCTTTTCCCTGCCCCGCCCTGCCCTGGCCATGCCTCAAAGGAAATGCTCTTTGGATAGCCTACCCAACCACCGCATTACAGCTCCCACGCATTTACGAGCGCCCACCCCTCCCTCCGATGGCATTCGAAACGACCAAAGTGCCATTGCATACATCAAGGCGCCCGCTGCCAGCAAGCACTTCGTGTGCCACTCGGCTTTCCGGTCGCTTCTGATTGGCTGGCACGCGGTAGACCACACACACGCTCGCACCCACGCACACACAGACAGGGCCCCGTCTTGCAGTATAAAGCAGGGCCGTCTGCGTCCGGCGGCATCACAAGAACTCCGGACTGCAGTCGAGCCACACACACAGCGCCGAGATCCCGTCGAGAAGAACCATCCTGAGAGGACCCCAGCCCAAGGAGGACGAGAAAGTCAGTCGTTTTGGCCAGTGAAGTGAATGTAGGTGTTCCATCGTCGCGAATCTAATCTAAGGGCAAACAAGTGAAAAGTTTGTGTTGAACCAAAGAAAATTATTCGAAAATTTCTCGCAACTTATACTCATTAAAAACACTTGGTGAGTAGCGCCCCCCCCCCCCCCGAAGGTGCCTGTCGAATCCATAAGATAAGCTGCTCCGATTACTGCCGAGATACTTTGTTTGCTTTAATTGTCGGTCGTTTGCCAGGACCAACTAATTTGCCTCTGCCCTGCGGCGGGGCGTGTGCTTGGCTTTTTGTTTATTTGTTCAATTTAATTGAATTAAATTAGATTAAAGCTCATAATTGCAGCCCACACCCACACTCCGACCCTGTCCGACGATAATCCGCTTTGATTTATTTTTCATAATGCACCCCTCCCACTCCCGACCCCACTCCCGGTCCAAACTGCCGCGGGCCGGACGCACTTTCTGCCAAAGTTGAAACTAGAAAACGCTATCAAATCACTCATTTACCCAGGACCAAGTTGAGAGCTCCTACTGAAAGCCAGCAGCTCCATCAGCCCGGGCCAACTGCATAAATCATGCATAGCAGTGTATGAGCAGTCAGGCAGGCAGATACTAGACAGAAAGACAGGCAGTAGGTATATTCAGGCCCGACTTGCTGTGTAACTTTAACTTGATTTGGGGACTTTCCTTGACTTTCCCGAGTTTTGCTCGCTACTTAATTGGTTTACTTACTGTGATTTATAGTCGGAGCTGTTATGGGAATTCCACGTGCAGAAGCATTCTAAATGCTATTTAGACATTGACATCTAACAGATAGGATTCAGATAATCATGTCTTGAATAATATTTCCGGTTTTAGTTTCATTCAAGCTTCTAATGCTTAATGAGGTTAAGTCTTAAACAGATGGTAATTTGCTCTAAACTTAATTTAATTCTAAGATTTCTAAAATTCAAAGAAGCATGTTAACATTAAGAATATTATATTATATATTTTGAATTTGGATATCTATTCAATCAAAAGTTAATACAGTTTTTGAACAAAGACATAATTGGAGAATGACTCCAAATCAAAGCTTTTAAAGAAAAGAAACCATCGGTTATTATCCTCCAAATGGCTTCATTTAAACAGTTCTCTGAAAAAGTTCAGTTCTTCATTGCTTCCTCTTAGCAGATCTTAAAGAAAAGGCAATTAAAAACGAAGAGTTTGGTTTCGTTTCCTTATTAAATATAGCAAATGTTCACAGAAACGATGATGATCTTACATAGGATCCCCAATTAGTATTTAAATTCTTTAGTTAATCGAAACTTCCACCTCAAAACTGGTACTTCCCCTCTTTGGTACACCACTTTAAACGTGGTGTAGACAGACCACAGAAAGCTGTGACTCAAAGACTACGTAGCTATAATTAAAAATAGTTCAACACCTGGGTGAATGTGGATCTTTTTATCTTTAAATCGATCCCAGTACAACTGTCCGCAACTCCATCCAATCCATGCCAAAGGCACGCTTCTGTAGGCTGACCTGGTTAGCATCTAGCATCGTTTTGCTTTGTTCTGTTCGGATTATCAGCTGGCGATTAGAAAATTTCACACGGAAACCGATCGAACGGGTGTTCGTGAACTTTGCATTGGCAGATGTTGATTGGGATTGGGATTGGGATTGGACCGAGGGGGATCTATTGGTACACCCATATCTAGCCACAGCTCGGCAGCACCTGTGGAAAGTTTTCCAAATGTGATTTACGATGCCCTGAAGCCGCACGAACGGGTATTAGTGACAGTGGCTCTGTCAGCACCATCTCATTAAGGCATCATTATGATGACTAAATAGCTGGGAAAATTGATAAACCGTCGTCCAGCGCCCTCCGCCGGTAATCATGTTGTTTATGTAATGAGAATACTGTTATTGTTTTCGCAGGCGCTGGCGCTGGCGTGGGTGTGGGTGTTGATTTTTCCTGCACTCTACAGTAGCACTCCACATATTAATAATCACTTATCGGCCGACCATAAATTTAGCCCGAACAGCTCCTCGAAATAGCCCGGCAGACGACAGGAATGGAAATATTAATGGGGCGCGACTGCGACTACGAGTGGGAGTGGAAATGGGAGTGGGGGTGGTAGCTGGAAGGAGCACGCGTGACACGGATTGCGCGGAGATTACCGGGTAGATCGCGGCTTATCAGTTATCAGCCAGGCCGGGCCGGGCCGGGCTGGGCTTTCAATGTGGCATATAGATCGGGGCGAGTCGGCGGATCGGCCTCAGTCGCTGGCGGGTGCTTGAAAATGTGAAATCGTGCTCAAGAATTCGGCTGATGGTGGCGCGGTGCTGAGAACAGTCGCATTCGAGGGTCCCAGATCAAGTGACTCTGGCAAAAACATCCGCCCCAACCGCGGTCGTGTCTGTGATTATAGAACCCATCCATCTATCGAACCTAGATTGTAGGCCGAGGCAGGGCAGGCGAATAAAATTTGAAAATAAGCTCAAACCAAGTGTGCGCGAACTGCCAGTGAGTGCCAGTGAGTGCCAGTGCTGCTGATAAACAGGGTTTATCAAGGCAACGGCAACCTGTTAGCAGGGAAAACAAAGGGAGTTACGTGTACAATCAGTTAAGGTTAGTGAATTCCCCGTTCTGGAGCGGGACTGCAGTCGCATCCGAGTGTGACACGCGACCTGGTTCGGTTCTCAATAAACTTAATTACGCACACTTGCCGCATGATTGATGTGGGCTGTAAAACCCATCAAACATCCGCATCGGCATCGGCATCGGCATCATCTGGAATCAAATTTTAATTTCAGTCTTAGGCCCACACACACACACGCACACACACACATGCGAGGAGTAGAGGCAACGTACAGACTGTGCGCCATTAGGATCGCGTGCTCGTTCCGGACCATCTCAGACGAAGCCGCGTTAGTCATTGCCGGGCAAGTCCCGCTCAGGGAGCTGATAAGGGAGAGGAAGGAGATCCATGATGCCATGACGGACAGTGCAGCCGAGGCACGCTCCAAAGCAGAAATTAAGGACGCCGCCAGAAGGACCAGCATAGACAGATGGCAGACTCGATGGGACCACTCACCCAAAGGCCGATGGACCCACACCCTCATCCCAAGCATAGCATGCTGGGTTGAAAGGAAGCACGGCCAGGTGGATTTCTACCTTACCCAGGCACTGAGCGGACATGGCTGCTTCCGCGGCTACCTCAAGCGCTTCGGCCACGAGACAGAGGACTGGTGCCCCGAGTGTGGCACAGGCATAGAGGAGGACGCTCGCCACGTCCTCTTCGACTGCCACAGGTTTGACCTCGAGCGTCAGACATTGGAGACAGTAGCAGGGTCTAGGGTCAGCACCGAGACTCTGGTGCCGCTGATGCTGGCAGACCCGAAGGTGTGGGATGCGGCCGCGGAGTTCGCCTCTAGCGTGATGCGCACGCTTAGGTCCTTGGAGAGAAGGCGGAAGGAGCAGACGGAGTAGGAGTCCACGCCACTGCGAAGCAATGCTTTGCGGCAGTACCGCAGTCCGCGGGGCCCCTAGTCCCAACACACTCTTGTCCGATAAATATAAATTGTAAATATTATAGAGCAAATAAATAAGTATATGAATATAAAAAAAAAAAAAACACACACACTAAGAGAGGATTCATGCAGGTCTCGGCAAATTAAATGAGTTTATCTTTCATCTTTGAATATCTTGGATGTTCTGGGAATTCAAAGCACGTAATAAACAAACATTTGCCGAGGTTCCACGTTTGCCACTTTGCCCTCAAGTTAATTGTCTTTGTGTGCGAGTGTGTGGGTGTGTGTGGGTGTGTGTGGGGGCGTTACATAAATCATAGTTCAAAAAGTTTTGCGGCCCAGGATTAGCTCCCTAAATGCATGCTGACTTGTGCGATTTGTGTGACTTCTGACTCTTTCCCGTCGTGTGCACGGATTTCCTAATTAGTGTAGCACACCCTCCGGGGCCGCGCTCTGTCAAATCCAGGCACCGTCCTCAACAGGTGCCCATCCTCCGCTCTCCAGCTCTCTAACTCTTCCCCTTTCTCTCTATTACAGCTATCATGAAATCCACCATTTCGCTGCTGCTGGTTGTCATCTGCACCGTGGTCCTGGCCGCTCAACAGAGCCAGGCGAAAAGTGAGTAGCCGCATCATCCATAGTTTAAATGGGACGCTGCGGCAACAGTCGTTTCGCATGAATATCGCATTCAATTTAAGAGCGAAAAACAAAGCCATAAATGTGTGACATGCCACATACCCAGGCCCCTCCTTGGCAGCATCAATTGTTGCAGTTTAATGCAAGACAAACAAACGGCACCCGACAGCCCTTCTCCTCCCTCTAGCGACAGCCATTGACAGGGACCCCGGAGTCTTTGTTTATGCAGCTGCGGGAACGGCAAGTGCGGAGCTGGGCCAGTGGGGCTGTAAGGTGTGCAATTTCCATTTCCTGACTCCTCTATGGTGCCCCCAAAGGCCACAGAAGTCATGTCGTATAACGAGCATCATTCACGAGAATGCAATGGGGACCAACGCACAAGACTCACGAGGAGTCAAGGGGAGAGCAAGGATAGCGCTAGAACGGGTTTTGAATATAATATTGAATCAAAATTAAATAGCAATGATAACCTAAACTTAGAGCACGAGCAACACGGGTCTGCAATTTCCGTTTCCCTGCATTTCTGTGGTCCGTCTGTATCCTCGAATATTCCCGGATTACTTGACTGTTCACTTTTGATTGAATATTCTCGATTATAGAGCGGCATTTGTGCTGCCTCTGGGATATGCGTATGTCTGTACATAATTGGATGATCATCTGAATCCCAGTTCGCATCAATTACCGAAACTTTTCGATTTGATTGCCTTTGAAATAGCATTTACGAGTAGGCTGTTGGCAGGCTCCCAAAGTGAATACAAGCAAAACATTGTGGGACAAGAGAAATCCACACATCGTCGATGTGAAAGATACCCTAAAAATCAAGCCATATTTGCATTCAGTCAGAGACCACGAAGAGTCCGTGCTACCCAGCCCCACAATCTCTTCGGCGCTGTGCTAATGTCAAGGACAACTCCCTCGAGGGCAGAGGGGAAATTTATGTTTGCCAGTGTGGGCGGAAATTCAAAAATAGCAGGCAGCCAAAAGTTTATTCGCTCACTGCCAGACGCCCGGCGGAACGGGCGGGGTCAAATGGTTATCACAAGATGTCTCTCCCGAGCATTGGAGAGCGATTAAAGATTTCGGCTGTCAGAGCGGCAGTCTATCTGCCCGACCCACATACTCGTAATGGTACAAAGTTTGTGTGTGGTGCGTTCCTTTGGGGAGTGCACACGCACAGGTCGTGCCTCAGCCCGTGTTCGGGGTCGGGGTCGGGGTCGGGGTCGGGCCTAGGATCGGCGAAGGGGGTCCCAGGATTTTTGTGCGCTGAAATCGATTAGGTGGCCCGCTAGAAGCGTTTGCAATTTCTTGGTCACCTACCGATGGATAATTAATTTTCGATCTTCACCCTCCCACTCTTACAGAGGGATGCCAGGCCTACGGCCATGTGTGCTATGGGGGCCACGGCAAGCGCTCCCTGAGCTCCGGCACAGGAGCCGGAGCGGGCGAGTCTGCGGCTGAGCAGGAGTATGTGCGTCCGAATGGCCTGCTGCCCATGCTGGCGCCAAACGAACAGGCGCAGGCCCTGCCCGAGGGCGAGTTTGATGACTACCCCGCCCGTCAGGCGCTGTACAAAATCATGAAGTCATGGGTAGGTGTGGGCCAGGGCTTCCGCCGGCTTCGGCTTGACTAACGGCTAATCGGCTCCCCTCTTGCAGTTTAACCGTCCACGCCGACCGGCCCCACATCTGAGCGAACTCGACTATCCCCTGACCAACTCCGGAGAGTTGTTCAACCGCGATGTGCCGATGAATGCGTTGAACTAAGAACCACTGACCACACGAACTACAAGCACTACAAGCATCAGCATCAGTAACACCCGATCCAATGGAGTACAACACCAACACAAACTGCACCGACAGCAAAAGTGACAAAACCATTAAGAAGAGCCACAACCAACACCTCCAACATTATGACATTACCAATTACTATGAGTGTTATTTACATACTTCCGCAAAATGTATAGAATGTTTGATAAATGTCTACAAATAGCGCAGCAAATGTTTCTGCTTCAACTCTTAGAGCGCATGAAAAATAACTGAAATTTTTAGGGGCTGGTAAGGATTTCAGTGCACAAAAAAATATGGAGGAGTCGAGAGATGAATAAAACCGATACAATTCAATTACATCGTGTTTCAATATCTTTATGCATACACGCACACTATTTATGTTTATTATCGAGGAAAGCGAAAGACTATATGTAGTTGTAATTTTACTTTATATATCACCTATACGGATTCCAAAGGCACACGGCACCATCAATGCTTGGAGCTCCATGTGGCAGCGGAAGGCCGTGTAAGGTACATTGTATATGTATGTTAATCATTAATCATTAATCGTTATAAGTGTATAAATGTTATATTACGACAATGCAACCTATAAAATGTTCACAAGAGTTTCTATTTATAATGATAAAAGTGGTTAAATAAATAAGCTAATGTGCTAGAGAAGCAACAAAATGGAATTGGTAGCTGGTTTTTATTTTACTGTTTGCTGGACCAAATGTATGCATGTTGGTGAAAAACAAAATTTAAACTTGATTCTTTCGCCGCCAGTGCGCTTGTAGCAGCCAGCTTTGTGCCATGAGCCCACTTAGTTTATGATATGTAAATTTTGTGTTGCGCAGTGTACAATATACTTTTCATGTTTTTCATTTCAACGGTACATAGAAATCCAATAAAAGGAAGTATTTAAAATAAGCCAGTCAAGTTCAAAATTGATTCATCAATCGGACAAAATGATGTGGGCATGGCTAAAAGATCTAGATAGCTAGTAACATTCCACGGAATATCAAAATCGAGGTATATGTATAAGACAACTTGAGTTCGTCAGTATATTTATGGTATGTTTTTAAAATAAGACGGTATATTTTGGTATATTTCTGAGGGTCGGACCGGACCGTATACCTTATCGGATTTTCTTATTTTCTTGCCACACCACGCAATTTTTATACTTTTCATAGTATTTTCCAGTATATTTTAAGACGCGTTAATACTTTTCATAGTATTTTCCAGTATATTTTAAGACGCGTTATGGACTCACCCTCTTGTCCAATGCACCAATGTACAAACCGTGTAGAAATGCCACTTAGAGCCATGTCCCAGGCCACATTCCTGATCGTTTGCCATCAAAATCTCAATTTTTTAAAAAATGTCGGAAAAAAGTCATGTCAAAAAGTGGATAACGGAGGTTTTTCGCACTGGCACTTCCATGGAAACGTACCCCTTCAGGTGTCGCCTTTGGTAATTACATGAATATGTAGTTAATATGTAACAACTATGTAGTTAGTGTGTAGTTACTATGTAATTAAATTAAATTAGTGGAAATTGTTGTTTATCGGTTTTGTTTAAACCTTATTTTTTAAACAATCCAATAATGATGAGTATTTAACAGTTAACCAGTCTTGTAGGAAACCGATGTAATAATCGGAAAAATTTATGTGGGTATGTCAAAAGTTTTATCTAGCTAATAATATTCCACGGAATATTAAAATCGAGGAATATGAACTTGAATTCGTCAGTATATTTACGGTATATTTCGTATATTTACTGCACGTGCTTCGTCGCGGCATGTTGTTTAATAAGTAAAACTGCAAAAAAAAGTAAATACACAGAATGACAGAGGATAATAATGAGTCGGAGCCACGGGCCGTGTTCAAGGAGAGCAGCAAAATCTTTCGCCGCAACCGAGCCCTGGGCTATGTGAGCAACCATGTACCCGCAGTGACGCGGTACGTCCAGCGCCGCAGAGACACGCTGGTGATCACCTGCATCGGGCGCTCGTTCCAGGTGTACACTGCCAGCCACTTCCGCCTTCTCCATGTGAGTGGCCTGCACCCGGACGACATTACGGCCCTGGCAACCGACAGGCTGCACACGTACACGGCGAGCAACAAGTGCATTTACGCCTGGCGGGCTGGCAAGCACATACGCCATGTCTATCGTGGCCACAACCGGGATGTGCACCTTCTGCTGCCCTTCGGCTCGAATCTGATTGCCGTGGACCACGAAAACGTGCTGAAAGTGTGGAACATTTTCACCGAGGATGTGTATCTGGAGGTTCCGTTCAAGGTGGAGGAGTTCCAGGTTACGGCTGTAGCTCATCCGCCCACATACATTAACAAGATAGTGCTCGGCTCCCGCCAGGGCCAGATCAAAATCCTAAACATCAAGAAAAACAGCATTGTGTGCACCTTCAACCACCACGAGAGCCGCGTGACTTGCATCGAGCCGGCGCCAGCACTGGACGTGGTGGCTGTGGGGCATGGCGATGGCGCCATCATTGTGCTGAATCTGAAGTTCGACGAGGTGCTCATGGCCTTTAAGCAGGACTGGGGCGTGGTCACCAGTCTAGCCTTCCGCACGGACGGTCCTCCTATTCTGGTGTCAGCCTGCAGAAACGGTTACATGGCCTTCTGGAATCTGGAAGAGCGCAAGCTGGCTGGCCAACTGCAGGCGCATGAGAAGGAGATCACCACGGCCATCTGCTTTCCCAGCGAGCCGGTCGTGTTCACCACCTCCCCTGACAACTCCATGAAGCTCTTTGTCTTCGACATGCCTGACGGTGGCGCACGCCAGTTGCGCATTCGTGAGGGGCACACCAAGCCACCGCTTTGCATACGTTATCACGGCAGCTCCGGCGTCTCCATACTCTCCTCCGGCGAGGACAGCACTTTGCGGGTCTTTTCCACCCTCTCCGAGTCTCTGAACAAGAGTATGGGCAGGGCCTCCTACAACCCAAAGGCCACCAAGTATAAGAGTGAGTCAGAATGATCCTTTAAAGCATTCAAAGTTTCTCACGAAACGATTTCCTTTTGCAGATCGCTTTCAGTTCGACAAGTTTAGCATGCCGCCGATTCTGGAGTTCACCTCGGACACGGCGCGCGAGAAGGAGTGGGACAACATAGCCGCCATCCATGCGGGCATCATACAGACCACCACATGGACGTTCGACAAGAGCCGCATGGGCGAGCACCGCCTGGTGCCGAAGCAATTCCAAAACAAGAATCGCGTCAACTTCCAGAGCGAGACCACGTGCATTGTCCTGACGCACTGCGGCAACTTTGTGATCATTGGATACAGCAGTGGCGACATCGAGCGCTTCAACATCCAGTCGGGACTGCATCGCGCCAGCTACGGAGCGCCGGCTCACGAGAAGGCCGTGCGCGGATTGGCCAGCGACAATCTCAATCAGTGCGTGATTTCTGGCTGCTCTGAGGGGCTGCTCAAGTTCTGGCCCTTCAAGGGAAAGGGTAATGACCCCTGCACTCGGAGAATGATTCAATTATTTTAATAAGTTTTCTTCGTTCTGCAGTTGACAAGCCCCTGGCCATATTGCGCTTGGCAGATGGTATATCGATAATGCGACAGCACAGAGAGAGCTCGATGCTGGCCATTGGACTGGACACCTTCAAGGTGTACGTCATTGACATGCACACGCGGGTGATTGTGCGAAAGTTTGTGGGCCACACAGCCAAACTGAACGATCTAACCTTTAGTCCGGACAGCCGTTGGCTGATCACAGCGGCAATGGACTCCACAATCAAGGTGTGGGACATACCCTCCTCGTACATGATTGACCACTTCCGTGTCGAGCGGCCTTGCGTATCGCTGAGCATGTCTCCCAATGGTGACTTTCTGGCCACGGCTCACGTCAATCTCCTGGGCATCTACCTTTGGGCCAACAAGACGCTGTTCAATCAGATTTCCTTGCGTTCCATTGACCCACATGAACCAGCCCCATATGTCGGACTGCCCACAAACGTTTGCGATGCCATGGATCTGGAGGATGGCATGAAGGAGCTGGAAATCGATGGGGACGACGAAGAACTGGGCGAGACGATCGATGCCCAATACGAGACACCAAAGCAGTTGGCACCCGAGTTAATCACCTTATCGGGCCTGGCTGCCTCACGCTGGCAAAACCTTCTTGATCTGGAGCTTATTAAGCAGCGCAACAAGCCCAAGGCCCCACCCAAGGCACCGAAGCAGGCGCCTTTCTTCCTGCCCACTGTGTCTGGCCTAGAAATGCGCTTCGATGTGACCAATTCGGCCTCAGACAAGGACAGCTCGCGCATCTTACAAGCCTCCACACTCAACAATCTAACCACTTTCGGCCAGTTGCTGGAGGAAACTGCCACCAGCAGCGATTTCAATCCCGCCGTGACTCACATAACCCAGCTGGGTCCCTCGATGGTCGACTTTGAGATCAAATCGCTGCATCCGGAGGCCGGCGGAACCCTTCTGGCTATGGTGCAGTTCCTCAAGCTCATCGAGTTCATGTTCAGCACCAACCTCAACTTTGAACTGGCCCAATCCTACCTGAGTGTCTTTCTTCGTTCACACGGCCTCACCCTGACGGAGTCCCCTGACCTGGTCCGAGCACTGCGCACTGTTTCGCGGGTACAGGAGCAGGCCTGGGATAGAGTCGAAAGTAAGCTGACCTACGGAACCGGCGTGGTGGCCGCCCTACGTAACTTTGCGAACTAGTGAATAGTCTCCCCCCATACCCCCATCTACTCGTAATTGTAGTTTTTTCATCCATTTACGCTGTAAATAAATTGACACAAAACGACGAAGCCTTCCTAGTTTCGTAAAAGCGGACGACATGCTGTCTGGGCAAAATCCTACCCATGCTTCGGAAATTCTTTAGAAGCAACTGGATGTTTTTAGGAAACTGTCATTCTGTAAGCCTAAATGGTAATCAAGTCCTGATAGCAGATTTGATAAAATATCTTGGCCTCACATTTGAAAAAAAACTCACTTGGAGGATAAATACGTCTCATGATTAGAAGCCATGAACTAAATATAAAGTCGAAAGAGATGTACTGGCCTATGCATAGGTTGGCAACTAAGTGTGTATTCTGTGTGTCTTATATAGGACTTTGCCAAGACGACGAGAAGTGGCACCGGTGAGCACGAGAAGAGTAACATAGTCCATAGCTATGGCATAGAAATCCAACTGTGGATTAAACACATGCTTCTCCCATATAAAAGCCTACACAAACCAATTTGGACTTATGGAAGCCATACGGAAAAGCGCTCAAGTCCAATATTGAAATACGGCAAACATTTTTCTTTTTGAAATGAAAGGTGTATTTACAATAACTGCATCATCAAAAGGCCCATGCAGCACTAAGACGAAGCCAGGCAGAAACGCAGCCCAAACCTCCTCCATCCTACGTTCCATCTCCAATGCATTTTTGTTCATCGAAAACAAGGAGACCCATGAGGACCTAAGGCCTACACAGGTCACCCGACCAGACTGGCTACACCCTTTGGATTTGCCATGACGCTGTGCGGGTTTGAAACGGAATTCACCGGAACATAATTATTATAATATTATGCCATATTTAGTATATTTGATTAGGGGCGTGTGAATCATGCTTTGGATGACGGTGCAGCGATAACTGAATGAGAGATAGCTGCAGCAGACTGGAGGCAAATGGCGACACGACCTTTGGAAGAAAGAGTCGACTAGTACACCGGATTGAGTTGAAATTGTGAATTAATTATTTATTTGTTATATCCGTTTAAACTAACGCTTTTATTTATGCTGGAATTAAATAACTTAAACTTGTTGCTAGACGTTGTTTCTTAGATACGGTTCTAGTGGCGACTGATTTGTTGTTAGCGTTTTCAGTTTCAGTTTGGGGTTCATAGACAACAATCTTAACTCAACATAAACGTATTGAGAAGATATATTCTGGTTAGTTTTCGAACAACCACGCGTTATAGCCATAGTGCACATCTGATAAGTTTCCATTGATTTAAATATCGTTATCGTAGCTTTGCATATCTCGTGGACAGATGAAATAACTTTAGTTTCTGGATTGGTTGGTTTCTTGTTGTGTAGTGTAGTGTAGAGTGTGGTGTTTGGAGTAGTACAATGCAACACGCAACTGGGTCTGTGTGGCTGGTCTTCGGCCATTGCAAGCTCAGTGTGCTACAGTGTGGGTACAGCGCTGGCACGCCGTATGGATTTGTTGGGCTTGGGGTGTGTCTGGGGTACTAGTAAGTATGTATAACCGCTTAGCTTGATGTGCACTGTTGGACTCGGGGGCCATCCTGATAGCCGCCATCGTCCTCGTCATAGGCCATGCGCTGGTGTTGCTGGCGGCGTTGCTTGGGATCAAAGTCCTCCTGTTTGGGGCATCACGTAAGAAACAAATGATATCAGCAAGATTCGAAGGGAGATAGCTGTTTCACTTTATATTATCTACTTACCAAAACAGTCTGCTCTGCTTCGAATGGAATGCTGATCTCTGGGGCCGGTGGCAGGCATTGCTTGAGCGTCGGTACCACAGACGGGTTGATCACGTCGGGGAAAATCACCTCGAATTGAATGATTAGCATTCCTTTCTCCATTGGATTCTTAAATATGGGCATGCCCTCCTCCGCGATGCATTTGGTCGATTCGTGGCGAATAACTTCACCGGGCTGCGTGGCCACGACCAGATCACGGCCGTCCAGAGTCTTGACCAGGCGCTGGAAGCCGCACAACGCCTCTACCAGCTGCAGCGGCATCTTCATCATGAGATCCTGGCCAGCATGTGCAAAGAGTGAATGCTCTTTCTCGTCTAACAGTATAATGATATCACCCGGCTGAGAATCCGGTTCGTGGTCACCCTCCCCTGTGAATACGATCTTCTGACCATCACGCATTCCCTTTTCGATGTGCACTTCCAGCACCTTGCGCTCGCGCACCGTCTTCCGACCGTTACAGTTTTTGCAGCGATCCTTCTCCTGTATGACCTCGCCGGTGCCAGAGCACTTCCGGCACACCTGCTCGATGTGTTGCATGATGCCAGGTGCAATCTGTTGGACGCGCGCCTCAACGCCGTTGCCCCGGCAGTTGGCGCACTTCTCGATGCTGCCCTTCTTTCCACCACGGCCCTCGCACTTGTCACAAATCACGTTCTTCTGCAGCTGAAGCTTGCGCGTGGCGCCGTTGTACAGCTCGTCGAGCTGCACCGACATCTGGTGCACCACATCCTTGCCGCGACGCTCGCGACGTCGTCCGCCACCGCCGCCGCCACCGAATCCGGCTCCGAAGAACTTCTCAAAGAAGTCCATGGGGTTGCGGAAGTCGCCAGAGTCGGCACCGCCCTTCTTGATAGCCGCCTCGCCGCCGTCATCGTACACCTGTCGCTTGTCCACGTCGGACAGCACCTCGTAGGCTTGCGAGATGGCTTTGAACTTCTCCCCCTCATTGGGGTTCTTGTCGGGATGGTACTTGAGTGCCAGCTTCCTGTAGGCCTTCTTGAGCTCGTCGGGAGTTGCGTTCGGCTTCACGCCAAGCAAATCGTAGTATCCGGTTTCCTTGACCATCTTGTATTAATATATTGAACCTGTTTAACTGAAAGCAGAAATGAAGTATTACTATAGAGTTCTACGATTCCCTCTACCTCGGGCGGTGCGATGCCTTCATATCTCTGGGATGAGTGTGTGCATATGTGCTGCTTCCGGAAGGCCCGGTTCAAGGTTAACGCCGAGCAGTAGTACGCGAAAACTGCGACGCAGTCCACGTTTTCTAGAAGTTTTTCTATTTCAATATGCCGTCGGCGACCGATGAGCAGCTGACGCCGCTACCTTGCGTCCCTGCCCTTCTGCCCCATCAACGACTACACGGGCGCACACACGCATACACACACCAGAGTTTCTAGAAAATTTCGTCAGCGTTTGGCAGCCCTGGTCACCGCGCCGTTGCGAACGGCGACCGCAAAGAAGAGCACGATAATGAAAGAAAGAAAAAAATCACCCAGCACTTGGACAAAGTGAAAAGCAGAATAAAGGGCAATGCAGAAACTACTTTGTTCAATTTTCAATTGATTGCCTTTCTGTTTCTTGAAAACCATGCCAATAAATGTTCGCTAAATAAAGTTAAGTACATGAACATACACACACACACACACCCATTGGCCTTTGTGTGTGTGCTAGGTACAAACATGTGCCGCGCAAGACGCTGCGTCAGAATAATTTGCACGAAAATGAACGAGGCACATGGGAGAGCGAAAAGAACAAGTTCAATCGATTTTACAAAAGAATGTGTAAAATGCAATTTTCGTAGCCCATCTCGTTGGCTGACGAAAAATTAATTATCGCTGATTACTTAACAAAAGCGGAAAGGCCAGAGAAGTCCACCAAATACACACACAATGGGAATGCAAAACGAAATCTGCCATATTAGACCAACGGAATTATTTGCAGACTCGCCACTTACCTTTGAAATCAACGCTGCCGTGTATTCGAGTGTCTAGCAAAACTAACTTTTGCTATTAATAATTACACTTTTTACAATAATTTATAAAACTGACTACTTTTTCCGTGCTCGCCACGCTTGGAGTGAGATAAAATATACCGTCCGACCCTCAGAAATATACCTCAACATACCTCATTTTCAAAATATACCGTAAATATACTGACGAATTCAAGTTATATTTTACATATTCCTCGTTTTTGATATTCCGTCGAATATTACTAGCTAAATATGTCTTCTATAGCTGAACACATAATTTTATCCGATTAATATATCAATTTTCTAAAAGATATGTTGAAATAAACTCCTTTTTATTGCGTTTTATTTAAAAAAAAACGTTTTAACAAAAAAGGTCAAAGCATGAATGAAGTGTGTAGAAGACACCTCGTCGGAGCCAATAACCTTTTGACGGCTATCGATACTATCGACTACTGCTCCGCGCCAAGCTGAAATTTCGACGTCAGAATATGGTATATTGTTTATTGTTTATGGTATATTGTTTAATATATTATATTATTTTGTTTGATCAATTTAAGAACATTAATGATATTATGTTGAACTACAGCATCTCTAAGATGGTTCCAAATGAATCAATTGAATCAAATGAACCAACTATCGATTTTTCTTGTGAAAACAATCGAACTACTGCCGCCTGGTTACTTAATAAATATTTATTTTGTTTATTGAAAATTGAAATAAAAGTTGAAATCGGACAACATGAGGCACGTCCAGTTCCTGGCCCGCACTGTGCTAGTGCAAAATAACAATGTGGAAGAGGCCTGCCGCATGCTCAACCGCGTGCTGGGAAAGGAAGAGATTCTTGATCAGTTTCGCCGCACGCGTTTCTATGAGAAGCCCTACCAGGTGGGTGGACGGCCTGTTCCTCCGTATTCATATCTAAACAACACGTTAATTCTGACTGATCTCTTTTAGGTGCGTCGCCGTGTGAACTTTGAGAAGTGCAAAGCCATCTACAATGAAGACATGAACCGCAAAATACAGTTTGTGCTCCGCAAGAACCGTGTTGAACCTTTCCCCGGCTGCAGTTAGTTTCCTAGGCTCTTCGTAGTGTTCTTAATGTAATAAATCTAAGAAAACTTGTTGGTAAATGGAAGATGTTTACATTGATTAGAACATGTGGGATCTCAAATAGCACTGAGCCAGTGAGAAATCCATCCTTCTTTATTTCAGTGCATCCATATAGCTTAAGAAATGAGGGACATGCTCCTGTAGAAACATTAAGATGGACATGGTTGAAGTAAATTGTCATCTTGATTAAGAAAATGTACTTGTCGGAGATGCGTTACAAACATCTGACCAGTTAAATATTACTCTGCTGATGGTTACCCGGTAAGGGTACGGCTATTCAAACAATTAGATTAAATCAGCGCCTCTTATGGCACAGTTTTCTTTTAAACGCTTATGAAATTCTGTGGGAGCACGACTAAATGATTTTTTGGTTGTTTGGGCTCACACAAACTTCATAAATGCTTTAATGGTGGCTACTAAATATGATTCTTTGTTCAGAATTTTTTTGATTCGATTTTAGCGTACTATGCAGATTACATGGATAGTGTGCCCCAAATGTGGGGCGAAACACATTTGTCGCAATGAAAGAGAAAAGGCCACTTCACAGCTTTGGTCCCTAAAAGAGCGTCAAGAGGCCTCACCCTAGTTTCTTATACCTTGTCGGACCCACAGTACTAACGGTACTGATAGGTTTATACATTTTCTCCCTTCGAACGCATCGGACGTGTTTTTTTGTCTTAAATCTGAGAGGTAAAAATTATATTGGCTTGAGGAAGTTTTGTCGATTGTCAAATATTTGTAAATTTTGCAAATCAAAGATATGTAGCATACTTTTCAGAAATATTATAGAAAGAACTTATTTGTTCGATAAAGTGCGTTGCGGCCCAATCGAGCGGGTTCTTGTTTTTACATGTGATTGTACATGTGTGTTTGTGTTATTGTATGTGTGTGTGGTGCAATTGCAGCAACGCTGCAAACACTTGCCTCTGTCTCTGGTGGCTCTTTTATAGCGCCCACAACTGGGATTCCAAAACGTGCTCAAGTGTTCCTCCAATGACATCGATAATTCGCTTATGCGGCCAATTTACCCAATTCACGCCAAAAGAAAAGCTTTCTCTGTGGTGTGTGTGAGTCCGATGGGACTATGGCGCAGTGGGAGCGAAAGTTGGCATGTTTGGTGCTTTGTTGTTGTCCGCCTTCTCGCCCCGCTTCTTTAAATACCCGGTACTCGTAGAGAACAAGGTATATGCGTTCGGCAGATGTAACAAGAGGAGGGAGGGCCCCTGCCAACTTAAAAACTTAAAAAGGCTATTCTTCATCAGCTTTGATAGTCGTTTGAATTTTGAAATTCAGCCCTCCGTTAAGTGGAAACAATCTTCAGCAAATCTTTTTCGGAAAAGGGAAGGCTTGTGCCTGTTGAATTCCAAATGGCTCCGACCAGTGCACACGCTATACATCCGAGTAGGGAGTATCTTTTAGTCGATTACTGCGTTCTTACTGGCTTTTTTACTGCTTTACTTTGGCTGTTTTCTTGTTGTGCTGTTTTATCGATTTCTTGTGTTATTTTTAGCGTGATTTGGATATGTGCATGTGTGTGTGTGTCCGCTGTATTGTGTGTTTCCTTTTGGGGCCGGGCCGTTACATCTTCACGGATGTTAGTGTTGGTGTGCGCCTAATCGAGCCCTCGGTGGTAATCGAATAAATTATGTCTAATGCGACTTTCAGATCTGGAATACGCGGCATGTTTTCAAGCAACTTGGTGGCCATCTTCTTGCTGGCGTGCTTCGGCCTAGCGCAGGCCTACCCGGCCCTGCTGCCCTATATCTACAGTGAGAACCGAGCCGCCGCACCGTAGTGGACCCAGTGCTAATCCAGGTCCCTCCCACAGATCCCTCGCACGAAGTCCATGCCGTTAAGCGCAACGATGCGGTCTTCCCCCAAATAGAGGACGATGTCGGCGAGCTGGACCAGCTGCGGAAGGAGCAGGTGGGTGTGAGCAAGCGGCAGCATGACGGTAGCACCGCCCGCACCAGCACTACTACCAAGGAGAGCGTGGAGGAGGGTGCCGCCGCCCCCGAGCCCCATCAAAGTGCTAACGTGAACATCCTGCCGGATTTGGAGCGGCAGCTGGAGGTGGCCACGCCGCTGATATCGACTACAACCACCACCAGTACCTCTGCCACGACCACGACGGCCACGTCAAAGGAGGAGAGCGAACGCTCACAGCTGGAGGAGCCGAAGACAGCCGTCAAGACGGTGGTCGAGCCGACGGTTCATGCCAAGGTAAGCCCCATCCCAGCCCCAGCCCTCCTCCCAGTCGGTAGTGTGGCTTGCCTGCTCTCTCTCTCTCACGCCTTGTAAACACCAAATGTGTCTTTTGAAAATCCAAGTGTATATCCACGAAACCACCCAAAAACCAACAGGCATTTTACGGTGCAGCTCGTCTAGCCTTCGGCCAGAATCCGGAGGTGTTGCCAACATCCTCAACCACGTCCACAAGCACCACAACAACAACCACAACCACAACGCCAGCACCACCTGAGGAACCAAAGCCTGAGCCCGAGCCCGAGCCCGAGCCCGAATCTGAGCCCCAAGTAGCAGCCGAATCTCAACCTGAACCTGAACCTGATCACGAACCCGAATCCGAGTCTGGAGGGGATGCGGCCGTGCCAGATAATATCGAAGCAGCTGCAGCGGAAACGGAACTGACCGCCCTGACACCTCCCAAGGTGGCAGGACCCCACAGCCACGACCACGACGTCAACAAGGAGACCATTGGGGACATCATCTTTGATGTGGTGTCATGGAATCCGGAACGGAGGTCTAGCGCGCCGAAGATAACGGCCAAGGTTTTTATGACAAATCACCGATAACCGATATCCGATCACAGACCATTGACCATTGATTGGCAATAAATTGGCAAATTTCAGCGAAAATTTAACCTCAATCCAGTCATTTTTGTAGCTTCACCTTGTTCGCTCTCTGGCTAATCGAATCTCTTTGCGAATCTGTTTTCCAGACGGTCCAGGGGCTACTGCACAGTCCTAATGGACAGTACTCCTCATTCGACATGGCTCAGTATATATTTTGGACTGGCGACGAGACGGCTGTAGTCAAGGCAGTTGAGGAACTAGTCAGTGGAAGAGTGGTTGGTTATCACCCAACTTCTCCGTGGCCGTCCGATTCTCAATTTTATCTTTCTATCCCCCAGATCACCAGAGAGAATGCTCTCAAGTTCTTGCAGGATATTCGTCTGGGCATTGAGTTCCTGCAGCGATCCTATGCCAACCGCATTTTCCCCGAGGAGGTCCGCCAGAACCAGCTGAAGCGCCACAGTCCGCCCAGCCCCACGACATCAACAACATCCACAACAACAACAACTACCAGTACCACGAGTACAACTACGGAGAAACCCTTCCCGGATGTGCATGCTGCAGAGGGGATTGCGCCGCAGGCAGGAGCCGTGCCAGTGAAAACCTTTGATAGCTTCAACTTCTGGAACAAGCTGAAGGATATGGATAATGAGGCGCAACAAGGTGGGAATTAACCAGACATATTAGTCATATGTAGATTCCTCAACGTTATACCATTTTCTTAGAACTAACCGACTATGACGAGGGTCGGGCCAAGATAGTTGAGTACCTGTACAACGAGTACTCCCTGGAGGAGATCCTCTACAAGCTGGCAAAGGTAGCAACAAGAAATAGCCTAGCCTAGCTCTGAGTGCTCCATTAAACGATTGATTGTCTTCCTGATTAGGTGATGTTTGCCCAGTCCCTGGCCCATGGATCCGATGAGGCACAAATGGAGTTGCAGAAGCTAACCGAGTTCCTGGAACATGAGGGCAACCTAGGCGTTATACCCGTTGATTTGCAGAAAAAAGTATTACGTAAGTCCGGCTATCACCCAAGATGAATAAATTAATGAATCTCTCAATTAATTCCGTTTCAGGAGTGCTACTTAGCGCCTTGTCAGACACGTTGACCGAGCATCCAGAACTGCTGCCGGCAGCACGGGTCAACCTGGCCAATCCATTTTACAGGCTTCCAATACATACTCCCAGCCAGTAGAGCGCGGCGTAGCGCAGCGCTTTAGCAAATGTTATCAGAATAATATAAATCTATCTATATATAAATATATATATATAAATGTATACATGCATAATCCCCATCAGCTACCAGCTATCAGCTATCGACATTTAACAAACAGATTTGAAGATGCTCTCTCTCGGAATTGCCTAGGACTCTTTCATTAGACTTAGCCCTATGTTTTTTATTGTGAGTACTCAAAATTACCCGGTCGATTGGCACTTCCAAGTTGATTAATGGATATGTTTTTATCCTATGTGTAATATAGCAAAAGATTCTCGTGATATTTTTGTTGTCAGGCAGAGGACGAGACAGAGAAACCCCCTTAAGTACACGGTATTTTTAGGAACCATAGCAAAATTAATTACTGAACCCCTCAACAGATGGAGACTTTCGCTATTTTGAGCTTTTAACATGAATCTAACACAGAAAGTAGAATAATTACTGCGTAGTAAATGGTACACTTGCTTGTATTTGATATGAGTTAGTTAGGAACAATGCGGTCGAGGAGGTCGCAGGAGCGGAGTATCTTTGGTAACGATGCAGGAAAGGGCTCTGAGTCCGCATATATCAGTAGCGAATATACACACATAGCTGCTCCCTACACAGCAGCAGAATCAGCAGCAGCAGACACAATAATAACACCTATTATACGTTCTCCCCGCAGTAATTGAGCTATTGTGCATTATTAATGAATTGGTTAACCGATTGATTGTTTGTGAGTTACATATACGATATGCAAATAAGAACTAGAACCTGTATCAAGAAATATCGATTATACACTAAAATACATATATATATATATATATAAAACATGCGTGCGATCTAGTCTACTGGTCCTTCTTGGGCTCGACCGCGTCCGCCGGCTTGTCCAGCAACTGGTTGATCCGCTCCTCCGTCAGCGGCTCGTTGCTGTTGAAGAGTTTCTCGATCTCGGCCCGCTCGTCGTCCCCAATCTCTTTGGCGTACTGCTTGGCCAGTTCCTCCAGCCGCTGTTGGTTCTTCTTCAGGTGCCCCGGCAGCCAGAATACAGTTTGCACCATCCTGGAATAAACTCCGAGTTACAAGGGAGCTCTCCCATCAGGGGACTCGCGCTTACTTGAGGAGTACGAATCCACAGAAGGCCAGCAGTAGGCATAGCCCAGAGGTCTTGAGCATGGTCCAGTAGTCAACCAACACTTGCTGATTCTTCATTTTGGGATCACTTTGGCTAGTTCTACTCCACTCGCGTCAAAAATGTACCTTCGAATGTCATATGTGGCCGTTCTGACATGTCCACTTCCCACACAGGAGGCAATGTTGTGGTCAAGCGTCGTCATGGGGAGCCAGTCCACGGCATACGTGTGCTAGACACCAGACCACCAATCATGTGTGGTCCCCAGAAATCAATATTCAATTTGCTCTGATTTCAGTTAAGGGCCGTGAAAAAGAGCTCCTGCCCACAGAAATGTTGCCAGAAAAGCCCTACACCAAAATGTGGCCAAGAACCCAGAGGCATGCTGACGAAGTGCGCACAGAAATTCCTGAGAAAGTGTCGTCTTTTGGTAATCGCACTTTCTATTTTTAACAGTTATCTCTGCATAAACGAGTTAATATAAAAACAAAAGCCAGTCAAAATACTATACTATACTCTGCTTGGTTTGACTACTTTATACACTATAAGATACCCACTAGTAAAGATTTCATTTGAAATTAAATTATAGCCAAAACTCGTCTCTCAGTGACCTCTACCGCTTAAGAGTATCTCTTACTTATTTTAATACATTAAGCTGCACTATTTCTTTATATTATATCTATAAAACAAACCGGGCATATTTTAGGATAATTATTTTGATCGATTTCTTTTGGTTCGAAAAGGAGTCCTTTCCACCTCTTTCCAGTCGTCAAGGTTGTCAAGAGGGTTGAATCCCTTTACTATTATTATTTGTGTGCACCTATATCATTTCTAATACTATAATACCCCAGTCTTTGGCTTAATTGAATATTACTTAGTTGGTTTGCTAGGGAACTTAGTCATTTTCTTACTCTTCCCATTACATCACACCATTATACCTGTTGCATACATCAATGAAAAGTGTAATACGCCCTTGAACTCGTTCTAAATGGGGGGTATCAAAATAATTGGAAAATGATAATAAAAACAGGTGCTGGGTTGGGGGTCCAGGTTTTCGATCGTAAATTGGAAACCAATGATTTCGATCAGAACAAGAAACTGATTAGACCAAAGTCTATCTATCTCTCTGCATACTATATTACGAATATATATTTAACTGATTCGGGGGGGTCAGTTCGAACAAGCTTCAGTCGCGTCTATATCAGCAGACAATAAATCTGATTGCGGCCAACTAGTCGTATCTGAAGATAATGGTCAGCAGACCCCTATAAAAGGAGGAATCCGAGGGTGCTCGGACCACAGTTGCGCGATGAGACGAACCCTACAATTATCCATAGTGTTGATCGGCCTAGGCCTGGTCCTGGCTGGGAGCCGACCCATCTCCGATTGCGTAAGTGTGCAAGGAATACGAGTGAGGGGCACTTCTGCTATTATCAGACATTATTATAGGGAGAGCGCATCGAGGACGATGGGTATCCGATGGAGCGCCACACGGTGACCACCAGCGACAACTACATCCTGACCATGCATCGCATCCCCTACTCCCCAAAGACGGGCTATACCCCCAACAGACCCGTGGCCTTTCTGATGCACGGCATGCTCAGCTCCTCTTCGGACTGGGTTCTGATGGGACCCGAGAAGTCGCTGGCCTACATCCTCTCCGATGCAGGCTACGATGTCTGGATGGGCAATGCGCGCGGAAACACTTACTCCAAGGCGCACAAGTACTGGCCTACTTATTGGCAGCTCTTCTGGAACTTCAGCTGGAACGAGATTGGCATCTACGACGTGCCCGCCATGATCGACTACGCTCTGGAGGTTACTGGACAGACGCAGGTGCAGTACGTGGGACACTCACAGGGTACCACCGTATACCTGGTCATGGTTTCCGAGAAGCCTGAGTACAACAACAAAATCAAGTCCGCCCATCTACTGGGTCCGGCCGCCTACATGGGCAACATGAAGAGTCCCATGACCCGCGCCTTTGCACCTATCCTCGGCCAGCCCAATGCCATGGTGGAGCTCGTCGGTTCCATGGAGTTCATGCCCAGCAACAAGTTCAAGCAGGATCTGGGCATCGAGATGTGCCAGGCCACCTCCCCTTACGCCGAAATGTGTGCCAACGAGATCTTCCTAATCGGCGGCTACGACTCCGATCAGCTGGATTATGTGAGTACTTCTCTCTTTATATATGATGTCAACGAACGTATACCTGCAAACGATAATCAGTATCGTATCAGTATCAATAGTGTATTACTATAGAACCATCTTAGGTGTTCCGATTGCTCTAATACCAGTACTAACAAGTGTCAGTCCCCTTCTGTCTCTGAAGGAACTAATGCGTACTGCAGAATGTCTAGTGTAGAGTAGAGTGTAGTAATCAATAATCAGGACCGTATATATATATAGTTTAGCTACCCCTGTTCCTGTAAATGTGATAGTTCTTCCTGAGCATCAATAGTCGAATCGATATAGAAATACCTTTCCAGCCGTCAGACTTTATAAGCGCCTAGATCTCACAGACTATAACGACTAAATTACCTGATTTTTTGTGGAGGGAGGGTCCTGTAACATCACACTAAAATAAGTGTATAGCTACAACGCGTATTGTATTGACGTGTATTGATGATACGGTCAAAATCGGGAATGGAGAGTAATAAATAATGATCTTTTCTACTAGATAAGATAAGATCGTTGCGATCGGATCGTTTCTCTCTCCATCGCAGTCTCGCTCTCTCCCAGTGTGTCTTAGTAGTTATGGCTGAGATTTAAAAGTCAGAATTCTCTTTTAGTGAAAATATCCACCTTCTCCATATCTTTTTCTTGCATGTTGAAGTTACATACGTGTGCGGTTCTCATTTATATTTCTAATATGAAACTTTTTTCAGGAACTATTGGAGCATATCAAGGCCACCTCTCCGGCAGGTGCTTCCGTCAACCAGAACCTGCACTTCTGCCAGGAGTACAACTCGGGCAAGTTCCGAAAGTTCGACTACACCGCTCTGCGTAACCCCTACGAGTACGGATCGTACTTCCCCCCCAACTACAAGCTAGCCAACGCCAAGTCCCCCGTCATGCTCTACTATGGAGCGAACGACTGGATGTGTGACGTGGGTGATGTGCGGCAGCTGCGAGACGAGCTTCCCAACTTGGGCCTGGACTACCTGGTGCCCTTCGAGAAATGGGCGCATTTGGATTTCATCTGGGGAACGGAAGCCAAGAAATACGTGTACGATGAGGTCTTGAAACAGATGCGGTCCCACGAATAATTTTACTAATTCCAAAATAAAATCAATGCGGGTAAAGTGCACTTGTTTTCACTCGACTTGGATAACCGCCAGATAAGACAGCTTGATGTGGTCCTCCTTTAGCAGCTTGCTCTCGATACGATAGTAGCCGGGCACCAGAATCTTCTTCAGTTGTTGCACGTCCAGGGGATAGTCTTTGAGATGGTAGTGCTCCGGCGGCAGGGGACAAGAGTCCGGGTGCGGGGCGTTCGAGTGCTCCTTCAGCTTCTCGTACAGGAACTCCTTGTAATAGGTCTTCATAACGTCGCAGACGCCGAGCCGAGGCATGTTTAAGAATTCCTCGAACTCCTCGTCGCGCTCTTTGGCGCGGGATATAAGAAAGTGGATCTGCAAAGGGTACGCCCGTGAATGGATGAATAATACACACACACTTTAACCAAATATCGTTTAAAAGTAAGGGACTAATTTGAGCTGGAGCAGATTCCGTATCTTGAATTGGGGCGACATCCTTTGATTAAATCTGAAGGCCCCTGCAGAGATGATTCCATACCTGCCATTCGTTGTCGATGGTCACGTGCTGCTTCAGCTCGCCGCTGACCTTGACCAAGTTCTCCTCGTCCTCGGCTATGCGCAACACGCTTTCCAGATCGTCGTTATCTTCGTGCAGCTTCTCCAGGCTATGCAGCTTCAGCGTGTGCTTCGCTTGAACTCGAATTGGGGTGGCGGCCAGCAGGACTAGGCCCAGAAGCAGCATCTGCTGGACTGACACTGACCCGGCAGAATAAGTCATTTCACTGTTGAGTGAAGGCCTGGTGGCGGGCCCTTATAAGGATCTCGCTGGGCTACAAGTTCAGCTTGTACAAGTATCGTACCGGATGCGAGCTTGTTTGGGGTGTCGATAGATTAGTGATATCCAATTTCAATTCGTTTTTGCTTAGTTTATTTAATTATTGCATGACAGACAGTCTTTACACAGAAAGCAACAACAGCCAGAAGCCCATTTACAACAAATTATATGTATATTTAATTACTAATAGCACGGCAATGATAAAGTATGCGCAACGACGCGTCGAGTGCAGCTCCGTTGCGACAGTGGATGGGCCTACAAAGCTAAAACACACTCGATTTGCAACAATAAAAGCATCCTTTAACGGTTAACATTTGGCTAAAACTAAATTATTTTCTGTACTGTAGTGCAGTGCAGTGTAGTGAAGTGTCGTTCATGTTGTTAAGTAATGCAGCTGGAATGTTAGCATTGCGATGGGGAGTGGGAACACCTCTTGGCCAGCTTATTGCCTAATAGGAAACCATTTGGGGCCCTGCCCCGGCTAGCTGGACTTCACGTAGCCAAAGTTGAGACGCAGCTGCTCCAGGAACACGAAAGTGATCACCGTGTGCGGGCCCAAACGCACGAAGGCCGGAATGTAGCCCTTGAAGAAGCCCATCGGTCCCAGCTTGGCCGTGTGCCGCACGATGTCCCACAGGCCGCTGTACTCGCCCGGCTTGGCGTTCATTGAGCGCGTCTTCAGCACGTCCAGCGGCTGGGTCAGGGTCGTGGCTATGGTGCCGGCCACCAGGGAGGCGGTGAAGTGCGTCATCAGGTTGTCCTGGAAGTAGGGCGTCGCCAGCAGGTACAGCTTGGTCTGGTCGTAGAACGCGATCTGCCCGATGGTCATGAGGATGCCGCGACCCGTCGCCGTCGTGGCGCCTGAAAAGAGGCGTGCGAATCCCTCCTGCCGGTACACCTTGATCAGGCCATCGACGGCATTCTTGTAGCTATCGGGGGTATAAATCATTGATTGGAATTCGGTCAATCACCTAGAAATTCGTCCGGGACTCACTTTCTTCGCTGCTCAGGTGGGAGTTTCACATCGTTCTGCATCCGGACATTGACCATGTCGGCGGGTGTGCCCACAATGCCGCCCGCCAGGCCCGATAGACCTGCCAGGGCAATCTTGCCGGCGAACGTGTCCGTCTTGATGTACTCCTTACCCACTTCGTAGACCCCGAATCGCGTCGTGGAGTAGGTAAGTTGCCGCAGCATGGAGGCTGAGAGTCCGCTGTAAAAGGCGAGCACGCCCTGCTCCCGGATGATCTTTGGGACCAGCTGCAACACGGACAGCTTGCCCTGCTGCGTCTGCAGCGTGACCTTGATGAGGTCCAGGGGATGGGTGCAGCAGGCAGCGCCAGCGCTGGCCAGGCCGCCGAAGTACCATCGCGACTGCTTCTGCTTGGTGGTCATTTCGTCTGAGTGTGGACTTCGAAACTGTTAGCTGCAATGGAAATCGTGGAGAACCATTTAATGCCGGACCGCTACTTTTCCGCCTGGTTTTACCTAGTAAAAACGTATCTAAATTACATTAGAAGACGCTATATCCTATCGCGGGACGGCATTTTAACTACAATTAGCGGCAGAGGTGTTATGTCATGATGGTGTCTTTTCACAAAGCACACGCAGGAACTGACGGGAAGTCAGGCTCCAGCGGCAACAGCTGACCCGTGACGTTAACGGAGCCTGGAAGGCTTAGCTTTAAGCTTTGCAATTGTGCGCGCGCGCACTTTTAAATGGCGTTAACGTTTTGCGTCTAGCAGCACACTCTGCGCACAACAGTACATTTCCAGCGCCTAACAGAACGATACGCGCGTGTCAACAACCACCATTTCAAACAGCTGATGGCTGCTTCTACGGTCATACTAGACCCATCAACATGTTTTTTTTGTGAATTTTTTAAATCTGTTTAGAAAATTAATCTTTAAAAGTGCATCTTCCCAGTCTATAAACTGTTCCCGAGTTTCGCGTTCCCGCCCATTCCACTGGTAAGTGATTGCAGCGATTGTTTGCTACCCCTGAACTTGCGCAACAAGTCGCCATTGCCGGTCGTCACTGCCCTTTCCCACAAGTCTGCAAGGTTTTTCGGGCGAGCGTCTCCAGTTTCTGTTTTAAGTGTACGCTGCAGTTTTCGCAAATGCATCCGCGTTGGCGCTGATTCTGGGAGCCAGAGGGGCCAGACCCTCAGCATATGCACAGAGAGAGTGAGAGAGGCAGAAAGAGAGCGTGACAGAGTCTTCCGAATGGTTAATACTTGTGCGGCTTTTGTACTGATTCTATTTGCTAATGTATGTCCATATATGTGTATTATGCATGTAAGCTAAATGCTTTTCGGCATATTAGCTTATGTACATACATATATACATCTGCACACATAAGTACTTATATACCTGTAGGGTTATCGGGTAGATCGGACAACAGTGATAAGAATGTTTATCATTCATTTTATTTGTGTACAACGGGCATATATTTATCAATGATCAGGCTCTACATCGAAACGTCCACGTTTCTATCTAATGTTCTCTAAAAGCTAACCTAAGAGTCCCGTCCCACATATGAAAAACCTGAATTAAATGGGAGAGCCAAATGTTTGGGCAGAATTAAACCATCATAGTATCATAGTTATAGGAACGAGTAAGTATCGAGTCAGTAATATTCATACAAATTTAAAAGAGGGTTAGGTATTGAATGGGTTCAAATATAGGAATAATTTTCTAATAGAAGTAACCTAGAGGCCAAGAAAACACGCTTCTAAAATGTCTATTACTATCTGCTTTGCACAAAATATGTAAATTTTCCAAAAAGGGTTACGAAGGGCCTTGCATTTTCTTGAATTTCTTCATGCCTTGGCCCCCGATGGTAACTATTCATTCTAACTACTCTAACTATTCAGTTTTGCCAGTATTTTGAGAGTTTAAGTAGCTAAGTACACTGTCGCTTACATCTGAAGAAAAGTTCGCTTGGGTTTGACTTATCTAAGAGAAATTGGCCAATACATCGATGTGACTAAACTTCGTATCTATCCATAAAGTTAGATTTTTTCTTTTGCAGGTTGCCTTGTTGCCATAAATAAACACTGGACTTGGAGGCGGGTCTGTGGGTACCAATCTTTATGGGCCTTCCTGAACTTATCAACATTCGATTTGTTATTGTGTCCCTGTTTATGGATTGATACCGTGTTTACCGCTGATCGAAATCCCAGCCGGCAACATTGTTGTTAGCATGTGTTTGTTTTCCCGGCCGTCTATTTATTTATTCAATTACTATATGTTTACAATGGGCCTGCAGAGGAACATCCTCCACGTGCCACGATTGCTCCATAAATTAGATGCAGACAGCGAAAGACTTTTCGGCAAACTGTTTTGTTATTTTTGTGCGTTTGGGTTTATTCTCGTCTCTGGCTGGCTAAATTTTATCTCAATATAAAACTGAATGCTGGTCAAAGTCGAATCAATAACGCGGCGCAAGTATCACATGATCCGCTGCCATACAAAATGTTGTTTTGCCAAACCGAGCCCCCAAAAAAGTTTGGAGATCGGGGGCAGTGATACAGTTTCTTCCACTTGGGAACAGCCGATTTTGGGGCCTCGCACGTGTCGACTAGCCTAGATTAGATCATTAAATCTGGCACGCAACATCGCGTGATAATTCAATGATTCCGGGGAGATTATCTATTTGTCGCTGGATTTTAGAGCCTCCTGTTTGCCCTGCATTCGCGGCATCTCAAAATTGAATAATAAACTGACGCAAATTGCACTTTAAAACGACTGCAGTTGAAACGTCCGCCCGAGAGAAGAGCAGCGGCGGTCACAGCTGATCTGAAATTTACCTTGAACGAGAAATGCTGCCGTGTGTGTTCGCTGCCGTTCTTGTTTCTGCTGCTGCCTTCTTTTGTTGCTGCTGCTGCTTTCCGTTAAGAAGACTTTTAAGTAAGTTTATATTTTGGCAACGCCACACCAATACACAAGTACACGCTGAAGAGAGCGCAGCGCGAGAGCGAGCCGGGAGGGAGCGAGCGACGACCTCAGCACGTCATTGCTGTCCACGAAAACTGGTCTGGGGTCTGGGTTCTGGGTTCTGGGGTTGGTCAGGGTTGCTTCTGCTTCTGCTTCTGCTGCTGGAGGCTAGGCGCGCACGTATACGTAACGTAACGGTCGAGCACAGAAATCGTACTGATCACCGCCAGCGGAGCCCACACATCAGCCGGCTGCCAGCAGACCCTACACATGCGCTCTTGCTCTCGCTCCGACTCTGGATTTGTTTTATCGCCCGCCGAGGTGGCAGCGCGGTCAAGGCGGGCACATGGGAAGTGTTCTGGGATCGGGGTTCGGGATCGGGATCGTGATCAGCTTAGTTAGTTAGCTGTCAGACTGCTGGTTCGCCAGTCAGAAGCAGAAGCAAAAGTGGAAACGCCGACACAGAGAGAGGCACGGAGAAAGAGAGAGACAGAGAGAGAGAGAGAGACGGCTGGACAGAGAGAAAGCTAAGCAAGCGGTGTACAACGAGAGAGCGGGAGCGTAAGCAACAAATAAAAACTGGTGAGAGATTTTTTTTACGGCGCGTTTGCTCTCCAAGGTTCGTGTGTATGTGCGTGCATTATGATTGTACAATAAGAGAATATAAACATATAGACATTCTGTGTAATTGCTCAAGAATGAAATCGAATTGGTTACACCTCCCTACAGACAGAAGAATAAACTTTTGGATGGCCACTCTGGCATTCCAGTGACAACAGACCGTTCCATTATCTCGAGCTCCATTCAATTCAATATCGAATCCACCCACATCCTCCCCACTTCGTCATACACAAGCTATGTTAAAATATACTATGAACTTTTTTTCCACGCCCAGTCCGAGTACATCTGCTTTACGTCATCAGAGGAAATCCAGGCATGTGCCTTCCCAAAATAGTTCAAGGTAAAGGGCATTAATCATGTGACAGACATTAGCTCAATTGCTCGAAAAATTTTATTAATTAGGAGTTAAATTTTTATACAGCTGCGGTCAAAAATCTAGGATAGCATGGAACAGCTTCCTTTGAGGTGTTCAAATGTTCTTTCCTAGGCGGAGAAAAAGTTTAAAAAAGTCATTCAAATATCCAAAATCATTGAAAAAGGGTCCAACTATATAATTCCATATAATATTCCAGAAAATTCGGCATTCTCGGCAATCTTCTTCAGCTTCGTATGCAATTTTGTAACTCAAACTCAAAACGTAATGTAACGACAGGTACATACCGTACGATCGATTGTTGTCATTTTCTGCTCCCAATATAGTGGTTCTTAATCACTATGCAAATTGGCGAGTAACGCTAGATTGGAAAAGAATAAGAAAAGTTTATGCATTATTTTTACTATCAGCTTTGTTTTTTTGACTGCTGTTGTATGCACTAATGTAGCAACACGAGTATGTGCACAAGAAGCAAAGCTCACAGTTGGTTTTAAATGCATTTCGGAGTCAAGGTTTAATTAGAATGTTCTTGTTTGTCTGCGACTTTCTGGCACTTTAAGCAGCCAGCGCTTCCCAATACAAAATCTGTTTCTAATCTGGTGTGCAATCTGATTCTCGAAGATATGGAGAAGCTAGGCAGCGATATTATCAGCTGTTATTATGGGCATGTTTTAAGCAAATTTAAATATTTCCTCGCACGTTTCTAGTACATGTACATTAACACATTAAGTAGTGCCGTGGCCGGCAATTTTTAGCAACTTTTGCCCAAGTGCTAAGTTCTGTTTAAATATAACTTTGGGCAAGGCAAAGTGTTTACAACTTAGCTGTGAGAATAAAGCTCTGCCAAAAAGCTTTCTCTCAGCAGCTTTGGGTTTCAATTTTGAGTTTGTCGCGATTTCGTCCAGCGGCCCATTAGCTCAGTTGGTTAGAGCGTCGTGCTAATAACGCGAAGGTCGCGGGTTCGATCCCCTCATGGGCCAGACTGATTTTTTCCTTTTTTTCTTAATTTATTGCTGTTTCAAATGCTTAATAATTTATTGATGCTGCTTGACATATTTTCCCACACTCTACCCGCTAGTAATTGCCCGATTTATATCCACGAGTGGCCCTGACAGCCATGATAAAGTGACAAAATGTAGATTCCTCTATTTTCATTTTGCTTTTTTTTTCTCCTGCTCAATAAATTACTTAGGAGTTTTTGCTCCGGTCAAGTCGAGTGCTTTAACCTCCTTGGCCAGACATCCCGTGACCAGCCGGTTAATTAATTGAACTCTTTTGATGGCATTTATAAATCGACTCTTCATTTCAGATATTTCAACGTGATGGCCACCTCAGTGCTGTTAGCTTGCGGACTGAACGATCAGAAGCTGCCGGGATTCGTGCACATCAGCGAGGAGTCCAATGTGGATGGCAGCTTCCTGATCAGCTGCATCCTGGGACAGCGGCTGCGTATCTCGAACGCGGGCACCCTGCTCGTCTGCTTGCAGCACCACTACCAGCACTACTTCAACGCGGGCATGCGTCTTGGCTACAACACGAACATCTTCCAGGGCAAGACCCTCAACGTGATCGACGTGCTGAGCGACATGGCCAGCGAGGGTCTATCCTGCAAATGGCTGAGGAACCCGGACGGGCTGACGCTGACAGAGCAGCTGGTGGAGGACATCCGCGCCCAGGTGGAGAGCAACTACGCCAACCGCAACAGCTACACTATACTTATCGACAATCTGTCCATCCTGTTCAATCTCGGTGCCAGCAAGCTGCAGGTACAGCAGTTTTGCCAAGACCTGGCTTCCCTTGCCAAGGAGCGCGACAATCTGACGGTCATCACCAAGCTGAGCAACAGCGACATCTACCAGCCGACCGACAACAACGTGGCAAAGCTTGGCCAAGTGCGCATCCAGGTCGTAAGGCTCAAGAGCGGCGTGTTCCGGGAAGTCGACGGCAAGCTGCTGATTGAGCGGGTCCTCGACGAGGGCAGCTATGCGTGCGAGGAGGCACGCAAAGAGGTGCTCTACAAGGTCAACGATCGCAATGTCAAGGTGTTTACCCCCGGCGAGGTGGGAGTGAAAGTCTAGCCGCGGTCCGGGGCCCCAGTTCCGAGCTACCATTTGATATAATTATTTGTATGAATTTTAATAAAGCCATGTTTTTCTATATTCTGAGATCCGCAGCCAAACTTTCAATCAGCCATCGCATACGCCTTCTCGTCAATGTCGCTGTCTGTTGTTTTCCTTCGTTCGTTGTAATTGCTTTTGTCCTTCTGCTATCTGGTGGCATCTGTTGACGTCACCAGCCACACTGATGAGGGAATAATGATGAATTTATGTCTGGTCACGATCAATAAAGGACGAGTATAAATGACTTTACAGCAGCCGGCCATCGGCTGGCCCCAAAGTAAAGTTCAGAGCGAGAAACTTTCGCCGGGGCTGGACAACGCTAGGCCCCCAATATGGTAAAGGACGTCGCCGAAAAAGAAAACAATAAAACTGGCAATTGAATTTTACCAAACAACGCAGAAAAAAGTTGATTAACTGCTCTTCAAATGTGCTTGGGTGGCACGGACTTTGAGGTCGGTCCTCCGCTCTGGACAAGATTTATTTATATCTGCGATTTCTTTGTACTGGATTGAGTTTCCACATCGCAATACGTATAGCGTCCCGAGTGTCCCTTCAGTTCGTTAATTGTGAGAAGTTATCCCATCTTCGCACTGTTCGTCGTCCCTCGAGCGAAAATCTCTACAAGAAATTTAATATTTTATTGTCGAAAAAGTTAAGTTTATCTTTTGAACTTGATTAATGTGTATTTCGTTTGACTGTTAAACTACGCGCTTAATCTTTCAGGATTGGTCTCATATAACATGACTGGCTATCTGGTGTGTTCAAGAAATATCTGGAAATTCTTAAAAGAGCGCAGGAGGGTTCCTAAAGATCCTAAAGACAAATTTTCGACAGAAATAAAGGAGATTTCATAAGCACCAAAATTCGGAACACTGCCCAATAAAGGAACCCCGCAAATGTCAGCATTTTTGAACACTTGTGGCCTTCATTGTCTGCTGCAGAGCTACAATTTTGTTTTCATTAATTTGCCATCGAAGAACCCCCCAATGGCTGCCAGACCCTGCCATGCGTGAATCGGGAATTGCATTTCTCCGTGGCGTACACGAAGATATTGCCTTTAAACAAACCCAACAGATGAATTCATTAATTACGCAAATGTTTTTGTGCACCAGAGCGCTAAGGGTTTCTCATTGGAAGTTATCCGCGAGGACGGGGACTCCAACCAATAGTGCCATCCAGTCGCAAAATATGCTATCGAATTCGAGATGGCTGAAAAGGAATGGAGACGAAAGGCTGTGGAACCGGAAGCAGAAAAGTATATGTGTACAGGTCGGGGCGGAGGCAGGGAGAGGGCCAAATCCAATTGCCGGTTTGTCCTTAGTCGCATCAGAAGCAACATGCGGGAAGTGGGTGTAATGACTGGTCAAAAAAACATGAAATACGAAAGGATGTTACTTTGAGGGGGGCTTCTGGCACGCCTCTCTCAGAGCCATGCTAATAACACAGCTACATACGACCGAGTATATGTACAATTTCTGTTGCATGCCCGTACTTTCGGGCACAATCGGAAATGAACGGGCCACAGGCGACCGCTCTCGGCCGCAATATTTCTGGACATGCAGCTGCCTAATAACCAGACACAAGCTCGTATGTATACATACTGGCATTTAAGGAATACTCGTATGGAGATGTGGGCTTACCATGTTGGACCGCGAACTGATGACAATAGCAATAGGGCATCGAGAGAAAAAGAGACCAAAAAATTGTCCGCCTCCCATAATTTATTCACATAGGAGCGCCATAAACATAAACTTGGCTCGCCGAGCCGAACCGGGCCGGGCCGGGCCCGGCCGTCCTTTCATCAATGATAATAACGTCGTATTAGTGCGGTCCGGTCCGGGCTGGAAATTGGGGAGCCAACAGTTCGAGTACAATGACCAGGCAAACGAACACAGACACGTCAGACCACGTCAGCCTAGGCCTCAGCATCATACGATACTCTACCCCAACCCCAGCGCGAAGGCTTCGCTGTTCACCCTTCTCAACTGAAAAGGGGCATCAATTTTTTAAGGACTCGGCTCAGCTTTGGCTTGCCAGCTGATATGGCGCCATATCTTTCGATTTTCATCGCCACTTTGTCGTTGCGTTG